GATGATGATGGAATATGTAGGCTCTTATAAACTTGAGCTTCTGGGTGGCGACGCATAACATGGGCCCAGAAAGCTCTTTCATCGCATGACAGGCGGCCGAAACGTTTAAGCCAAAACGAAAAAGCGCTGAACAAGTTGAGAAGTACCGCAAAAAAACAAAAGCGAAATGAAAATATATGGACAGAAATTGGTTTTAGTATTGATTTCGTACAGGTGTGTGGCCGTGTGTCTGGCCGAGTAAACATCAAAATTAAAATATGCAAAACTGCCATTGCAGAATGGCATTGTTTATGCAGAACAATCAGGAAATATCATTTACAACAAGCGAATTAAATTGTTTACATTGTCAGCGTGACAGCAGCAAAAACCGGAGATAAGAAAAGTTTTTGATTTTTTGTCGGTCGCGTTGGCAAGAGTTTTTGTGTGCTGGCAAGTGTTTGGCTTTTAATTTGGCACGGAACTTGAAAGAAGTAATCTTGAAACGAAAGCAAAAGTTTCTTTGATGTAAGATGCGATTTCAACAGCAGATTTGGGGTTGAGGGAATTTTGTAAAGTTTCACACAAATATCTGAGAGGTGACCTAGGGATATGCGAATATAGTTATGGAAATGTTGTAAAACCAGTAAAAAGTAAGTTTATGATGTAATTGCATTTCTCAGATGCTTCTCATTTCCAGATTGCTTGAAGTAGGTTATTCAAATGACTGAGAACCAGGGAAAGGGAAATATTTCTGTAGAGTTGGTGCACCTAACTGGATTACGGAGTCATTCTTGACTTCAGCTGAAGGTATTCAAAAGCAAGCCATTGAAAAGGCACTCACTTCTCTCTTATCCTGCTCCTTCATTTCGATTCATCATTAGCATAAGTAGCAATATCCTTTTGCTTTCAGAGAAAACAAAACGAGAGGAAAATGTTTGAAAATGTACAATGGTTCGCTCAAGGCAAATGCACAATTCCACGTTAAATTTACCCCCACTTCTCGGGAAGAAAGGGAGCCGGAGCAGGAGCCGGAGCCTAATGCAACTTTTGTGTTGGCGATGCGAAAAGATTTTCCGCTGCAATTTCCAGTGGAATGAATTGCTTGCCAATAATCCGCTGCGACAGTTGGCAAAAATGCAATTAAAAAATTTCCACTTTGTCGCTGGCAGCAGGGGAAAGCGCTCTTCTCTGCTCTGCTCTCTTATTTTTCAGTTTTCTTGGCGAGTGTGAGTTGGCCTTTTCCGATTTGTTTTGCGTAACTTTGACAGCAGAAACAGCAGCCTCCTCTTTCTGCCAACCAACTGTAGCTTAGGAAAATTCTTTCATTTAATAAAATGCGTGCCAACTTGACAATTTTCACTGGGCTGTCACTTGGGCATAAGGGATAAGCCGAAAGTTTTGCAAGTTTTTGATTTCTCCCAGCCTCGCACCCGCCCCCGCTGTCAATCAAGAGCGGGCGGGGAGTGGCAGCAATTTGTCCAAGCCAAAGATCCAGGTGTTTGAGCCTGCCTCCTCGACCCGCGGCAAAGTTTTTCATTCAAAGGTGTTGTAAGGTGCTAAAAACTTGAACGGCTCCTTTTTTCCCTCGGCTGGAAGTTGGCATGATAATTCACTGAGCGAGGGTTGCGATGAATGTGAGTTTTCACTCAGCTAGTGGAAAAATTTACATTTTTATAATAAAATGTGTTATGATATATAATAATAAAGTAAAATTTGTTTAAAATATAATAAAGTAATAAGTTGTTAGAACTGAAAGAGACGAGAATTTCAGAGGGAGCTGTTTGATTAGTGCTTACTTACTATTTAAGCAGTAAAGAAGTTTCGCAAGAAGTCTGACTGCAACTTGGTGATTTGCCCACATCTCGGTATCCATCCCTAGAAGTTCGATTTGCGGATGCGTGTAAACAAATAATCTAGCTCCCAGGCAGCGAGTAGCGCCCAAGTTCAAACGAAGCAAAAGCCACCGAAAACATGTAAAAAACGAAAAGCCGGACCACACACGCCAGTTCCTCGGGAAGGAGGACAGGAACAACAAAAACTCGGCCAGGTCTGTACCTCGTCCCCTGCTCCACGGCTCCTCGGCTCCTCTGCTCCTGAATTCTCGGCCTGGCCGTATTGATTATTGTGATCTGCCGTGTGCTCCGCTCTGGGGGTAATTATGCAGCCAGGGGACTCTTTGCGGGAGTAGGGTTTTCGTTTTCGACATGTCGGGGATCGGGAATCGGGTATCGGGAAACGGGGGCTCGCCTGTCATTTATTTTAAACGATTCCTTTACACATGTCGGAGGCTTTCGCCGCCAACGTTGCCGCATTTATTGTTGCTGTTTCAGGCCCGTCCCCTCTCCTTTTCCCCATCCTCATCCTCATGCTCAGGTTCAGTTTTCAGCTATACAGCTCCCGCTTTGGCTATAGCTCCTGCCTCCGACGAGGCGGCTGACGTCGGCATGCCAATCATTTTGCGTTGATGAAGTGCGAGTGTGAGGCAAAAATGTTGTACCAATAAGTTCAGTCAATGGTGCTGAATGCCAGAATGCCAAAACGCCAGGATGTTCGGCAGTCCGTCAGTCCGTCACTCGTTCAGTATTTCACTCTTTCATTTTTTCAGTTCAGCTCCCAGTTTGGGAGTCACAAATCGCTGATCGATTGAGGGGAGCAGCGTGTTGACCCTATCGTTACACCAATGGAGCAGCTGAAGTATTGTGTCAACAGAAAAATGCACTCAATTTGATTCACGCGGCATTTACTGGGATGTCAGCAATTTAAGGAAAATCAATCAAACATATAGGTGGTCGAAAGCAGTTTAAGAAGTGAGTGGAGAGGAGATGCAATAAAATATATAAACTGGAACTGTTTTAGAAATATTTAACTACTTCTTATTAAATATCATATAAAATTTCCTGCCAATTAAGAGGATATTCCATACTAAAGAGCCCTAAACTCCTGCCAAACGAACGCTCGATCGCCGTGGAACAAGGGCACATTCTACTCGGCAGCTAAGTGACTTGTTCCACCTCTTCGCCAATAATTAATTTGTTGAAAATGCAACGCCGACTCTGGGCCACCATCAGCGTCATGGAGTTGGGACTGGGATGGGGGAATGGGCTCCGGACAGAGTCGCACTGACAGGCGGGCAGCGCCCTGCATTATGCATGAGATCGGACCTGGAACCTGGGATGCCGGATGGGTGATGGAGGACTCGGACCCTTGAGAAATGCGCGGCAGGGGCACCTTCAAGGTTGGCCGTTGTCAACTCTCGAGGCTCCAGCCTCCTGTCTTGCTCTTTCAACTCATTTCCCCCGAGCCCCCAACTGCCACAGACTGGCGCTGATTAAGTCACTAAAACTGCTGGCTGCTTTTCTAACTAATTTGCTGTTAATTTGTTGCTACGCTACGGCCAGACGCAACTCATTTCCTTCCTGTCACAGGGCAAAAATTCTGTTTTACTTTACTTTTTTCATTCGCCTTATGCTGTCAGAATTCCGGGAAAACCCCCTCTACACACACTCACCCAGGTGAAGCCAGCGCGGAAAAGGTAGAGCTCAGCAGAAACTAATTTGTTTATATCAGCGAAATGCATAATAATGCCAGCGAATATTTCATAACAATTTGGCCTGACGCTTAGGAAGTTTGGGTTTCGCTGCATATTAAATTCCAGAACAGTAACTTCCGAAAAGAGATTTATCATAGGGAAGCATTAATAAGTAGTTGGCATCAAAGACCTTATTTTCGTACCTTATTTTCCTTAATAAACTGAATATATGCATAAAGGGTCTCCTTTAAAGGGTTGAACTTTTGCTTGGTTAAGTTTGAGCTTCATGAATTTCGTCTCATTCGGTGGCAATTAATGACCTAGTGTAAGACTTAATCTGCTGAAACGGACTCCATTCAGCCCTATGCTTGGCGGGTAACTAATACAGCTGCGACCGCTGCCCGGGAGTAGCTTTAATCACTTGGGGACTCATGTAATGCCCAAGCCCAGCTGCACATGCACTCGAATCGGCAAACACTCGCCTGTCAAAGCGTTTCCAAAGCATCGCCTCATCGCATGTTGCATCCACTCCGCCGCCTCTGCCACTGCCACTCGGATCTAATGTTTATCTTCCGTGTTTCGGCCAGCTCCGATTTCATGTGGGGGCACTTTGGCACTTTGCATGCGGATGGCTTATGGGGATCCCCGTCTCAGATCCCGGGAGGGGTTGCTACCAAGACGCGGCCGAGTGGCGCTCAGTGTTTCCACCGAAAGTCACGTGCGGCACATAAAAAACCAACGCACATCATGTTATTCCACTGATTCTGGGCTCTTGTTCTTTTGCTTTTCGGTTGTATTCTGGTTTTCATTGAAAACGAAATTCAAAAATCAAAATGTTGGCGCGACAAAAAAACAACACAGCCATCAATGGGGCAGGCCCAAAGCAGAAGGCATTAATTAAGGGAGAGCAAAAAGTGTATGTATTGTTTTTCTTATTCTTATACCCCTTACTCGTGGAGTAGAACGGGGTATATTGTGTTTGCCGATGGGTATGTAACAGGGGGAGGAATATTTGAAATTTCTAAGGTGGAAAAAAACTGCTGGTAGTGTTTGTTACTATACAATTTTCTATATATATATGGTCTTGTTTTACGAAGTTCTATTTTATTCTTATAAATGTACTAAATAAGAGTGGAAATATTATGGCTTAAAACGCTGGTAGGTATGCAACATAATCTGTGTCAAGATTTTAGCGGGTATCTGAAAGTCGTGGCCCTTGACTACATCATTCATTCTTGCTTTTTTTGGGGCTTTCTGTGTGTGTGTGCGTGGGATTGGGGAGACTTCGGGCCGTCTTCGGGATTTAGTTGGGGCCTTCTTCGTTCCTTGGTAGCTGCCGGCGTCGCTGCCTCGGCCGCGGTCTCCGTCGCCGCCTCAGTCGCTGCCCCAGCCGGCGTCGCAGTCGCTTCTTGCTCTCGACGCTCGGGCTTTTTGGCTTTCTTTGCGCACGACTCTCGGGCATTTTGCGTTTGCACGTCAAGGCAGGCGGACGACGAGGACGAGCGCCGACGGAAAGAGCAACCAAGTGCTAGAAGCCAAACTTCCGCACCCGGGAAACGTGTCGCGTGTGCTCCGAGTGGAAAATACGGACGGATTCGGGGTGTGCCGGCAAAAAGCCCGCTAAAAGAATTCCAACTATGCGTGCGACCACAAATCAAAATCAAAATACGAATTTATGAAAAGTGTTTCCCATTAAGAGTAAAAGTAAAAGTGTTCGTGCGTGGGCCATCGGCTAATTGCTCGTGTTCCACAGCCACAGGTGGTGTTTCAGCGCGCCCCGCCCCCAACTGCGATGCCCCCTGGCCAATTGTTGCGGCACACGCAAATTCGCAGAAGTTTAATTAAAGTGGGACCCGAGGAAAGGTCAGCGGGCAGCCGCAATTAGCAAATCTAACAGTTCCGAGAATCGATTCACTGCAGCCCCCAATTAATTGGGCGCCCCTAACAGCAGCCGAAAAACCAAAGAGAAGACCGACGCACAGTACAGAAGTTACTCCCCCTGAAAAAAGAATCGGAAAAAATACATTTTCGTTTTTTGGCAATATAGTGGCAGGCCAAAGAAGTTGTAGCCGCAGAAAAAGGAAAGTGGGTGGCTCTTGGGGACGAAGCAGGGGACAGGCAGCAGGCGACGTGTGTCAAAGGTTTGACAGGCCTTAATTGTGCGGAGGACAGAAAATCAGGAGACGTCCGTCGAGGGGTGGATGCGGCAGTACGCCGTAAGGCGAGTCGAGTCGAGGGCTTCGCGTTTCGGGATTTTCGGATTTACGGATTAGAACCGAAACGCTTTTTTCCTAGGGAAGAGCCAGAGATTCAAGCCAGAAAACTCATATTTTGTATCTCTTCGAATTAAGCTTCTTAAAGAACAAAAACATAAACAAGGAACAAGGAAGAGAAATTATTTTATTATAGACAACAAAATTGAATCCAACGAAGTAAAGTTCTCTAAAAAAGCTTAGCAATTATTCTTCTTATCCTATTTTGAGCAAGAGTTTTTTAGACAAAGGATTGAGCAGTTTTTGTGGGAAATTCAAAGTGATAGAATTGATCAAAAAAGCGTTTTGCTAGATTTTTGTGACAGTTTTTTTTTCAATTGACACAAATTAAGTAAACTATTTGGCAAGTTTTGACTTGCAATTCAATTTGCTACGAGATCAATTAATGAAGATTCGGCAGACAAGAACAAAATCGAATTTGTTGGCCATTGAAAGTATCTAGTTATTTAATAAGTAACTTGTTCGAAGAACAAAGCAGCCCAATAAAAAGCAATTTATTTAATTAGGCCACAGCACACGCACTCAAAGGTTGTTTCACCTCACCAAAGTCTAAAAACCAATCAAAGAACAGTCAAGTGAAAAGTTGAAATAAAAGAAAGTGAACCAAAAAGGAGAACCATGTTGCCAGGAGTGGAGCTGCTGCTGCTGCTCCTGCTCAGCCCGTCGCTTCTTGCAGAGATCTCCCACTTACCGATGGTCAGCAATCGCATTATCCTGGACTCCACGGAGCTGCTCCAGCCGCCTTTGATACCAGACGCCGATTTGCCAGCGGTTAAGGCGACGCCAGTTCCGCCGCAGAAGTGTCCTTCGTTGCAGCGGTACCGCAAGATGTTGAAGGACTTCGACGACCTGGAGGACCTCTATGTGGATGTGCCCGTGCACATCGCCTTGGCGGAGCGACAGAGAAAGCGGTGAGTACGTCGTTCTGCTTTCGGCTTCGGTTGTCGGATGATGGGTAGCAATACGGCTAAGTGCGATGGCGACGCCGCCTGCCACACAAATCAAATTACGGCCAAACAAATGCGAAAGATGGCCAGAGCCAAACTTAGGGGCGCCTCCAAGAAGAAGCCGGCAGGAGCAAAAAATAATTTATAACCACGACGTGTGGCTGGCCAAACAAAAAACAAACATCCACAGCCAGATTTTTTACAGTTGTCCATAAATGTGTGCATGTGTGTGTGTGTGTCCGCCGCTCTTCTTCTTATTTGTCTAGTGTGCGAGCTTTTGTTGTCCTCACAGCTGCCACCACAAGTCGCACACTGGCCCCAGACCCAGATTTTATGTCGAAACCTCTGAAGTTATGGGAAAAGTTCCACTTCAATCTGAGATTGTTTTGGGGAAAAGGAATCATGATTTGATTTTCTCTAATTGGTAAGGAAAGAAACTTCTTCGACTCATAAAAGGAAAATATTTCCAAAAGTTCATTTAAGTTTAGATAATCAAAGATACTTCCAATGGCTCTTGAGATTTGCAGGTCACGTAGTTTCGGTCTTAAATTTGCTTTCACCTTCTCTGTGTTTCGTTCTAAAGTAAAGTTTCTAGTAACACCTATATATTATTTTCAATTGGTTTGGGTTTTTCCAACACCCCAGTATTGAATTTCCCATGTCACAATGGCCGACTCCCACACCCACCGACTCCTGCACCACTGTTCCCGCTGCGTTGCACGTGGCGTATGAGTAACGTTCTTTTTTTTACGATTTTCATTGGTTTCCGTTGGGCCGCAGCTTGGGCCTGGGTCAAAAGAGGCCCGTCACGTTTTCGCTTAGGCTCTGGTCTCCGGGATTTCAGTTTTCATCTTCTCCAGTGAACGTGTGAACCAGTGCGGGGCTTTTTTTCTTAGAGCGGGGAAACTGGAGGCCCCGGGCTCGTATAGCACTCGATCATTTGCCACAGAATGCCAGCAAACATTCAAATTAATGTCGTGGTTTGTCGTCAACTGCCTTTTCGGTTCGCTTTTTCAGTGGCTCCTTCCTCTTCTGCTTCACCCCACACATGTAGTATGTGTGTTAGGCATCAGTGTCGCGCGACTCGGCCAAAGTGCTCCAATTGCCCGACTGCAGCTCGAGTGACCAGCTCGCGGCACTCTGGAGATGCGAGATCCAAAACCCTAGAGCACAGAGCACAGCACCCAGAACCGAAATCTAGAACCAGAGTACGTGACGTTCGGGTCGAGTTGCCCAGTTCGCTGAGCGTGTGAAAGGAGCGAGTTGGAGATGTGGCAAAGAAGCTATGGCAAAATCGCGTTTATGGCGCGTGCAGCCATTAAGCGTTTTGCTAGAATCAGCAGGCCGTTCCCATTCCCATTGCCATTCCTAGTGGCCCCGTGCGTATCCTTCCATCGGCCAATCAAGGGGCGAGCGTTAATATTTTTGCGCAAACAAATCATAAATATTAATTTTACGACTTAATTCGACGGCGCAATATGCGCTCCCGTTCCCAATTCCCAATTCTCAGTTCGCAATTCACGATTCCCGATTCGCATTCGCAAGTCGATCATTCTGGACGCGGATGCCACTTGCGGCCACCTGTGGCATTCGCTGGCTAGTTGTGGCTGCCAGTCACCCAGTCATACAGTCAGTGGCCTGAAATCAAAACAAACCCCGAAACTGCCGGAAAGGTGATTGTGTGGTCGCTGACCAAAATATGCACTCGACAAGGGGATACCTCTTATGTGTGATGTTTTGAAAATGTAACTTAAGTAGGGTGATTGCTACTTCGTTTATTTCTGAATTAAACTTTCGATTTAAGTCTTTCAACGAATATACTATAATTTTAACCCTGTCACATACTCAACCCGTTCACCATAAAGCCCTTCCCGGCCTTTTCGTGTAGGGAATGAAGGCAAAATGTTGTTAATATGTTGATGCTGTTGTTTGATTGTTGTTGGCGTTGCATTTTTATGTGCGCCGCAGGCTCAGGCGGTGTAAACAACTTTTATTGCCCGGCCCGACACTCGGCAAAAAGGCAACCGCCCACGCCGCCCGCTCCTCCACTTTTATGGCGTGAAACTATTTATTTGTAAGCGCATCAAAGGAGCCACAACAACAGCAACAAATTGCCATAAAATGCGAAGCATAATTCTTTGTGTATGTTTCGTATTTGGCCGTTTTTGTTTTCTGTTTTTGGTTTTTAACTGAAACTACGCAGACCTTGCCGCACAGCACATTTTCGCACAATGACCAATGCCCCATCATCATCAAACTCAACATCGTCGTCATTATTTTGCGCCGCCAGAAAAGATCTCCTACGAGTGTAGTGGGTATAGTATGTATTTTTAGCACTTGACAGAGTACGAAAATACTCGGCGAGACTGAGTCCGTCTGAGGCTGAATCTGAGGAATGGGAATCAGAATAGGAATAGGAATAGGAATCAGAATCGAGGGAACGATGGAACGCCAGAACCACACACTGAGTCCCACCCGACCAAGCCAATCCGAACCGAACGGAACAGACAGAGGGGCGTCGCTCTCAGTCAGACGACTCCGCATCAACGCCACAGTTCAATAGTCTAAAATTTCCCAAAAAATAGACGAAACTCAGAGGAAGGGAAAGCCATTTTCAAATTACAGACACTAAGTGCTCACTGTGCCCATTTCGGTGTGAGTAATTGAGTGTGTCTTTGTTTCGCATTGTGCTCGGCGTGAATCACTCACAGATTCAGAATCAGAACCAGTGTGTTGGGTCATAATAGAGATATCAAATAATTGTTATGTTCTTGGCCGACAACAGGATCACACATTGAAATGGGAGACTACTTGGGTAGTGGGTGATGGGCTGTGGGCTATGGGCTGTTGGCTATGGTTGGGGGTTCTATTTACACTTGACTTCCCAGTGACAGTGGATGAGTAATCCCCGGCACTCAATGTCGGCCATAAGATCCATTAATGAAAACAGATGATAAATTGTCTCAACAAGTTGCTGTGGCAAACACTCTGCCATGGGAATTTTCCAACAGCAAAATCTGATTTATGGACTATCTAATATGGTATCTCATGGATATTCAATTTGAATTCCCAGAGCATATTCACCTAATGTTAATCATGAATTATAGGTTCTGGAAATCCAAATGAATTGGCCATTTACTCTGATTTATGCAGTATTTATATTTAGTCAAAGACTCAAAGATATTTTTCTACACTTCAAGCTTAGCTACCATTATAAAGGTTAAGATTGAGCTGCAGAGATAAGGAACTTACTTCCTCTAAAATCCACTTAAATAGGAATCCCTTAGAAATTGCCAAATTTATATCCTGTAACTCACATAATTCCACAGAAGTTGTCTCTTCTCCTTGGCGCTATACCCAATCCCATTTGGGATATTTTCGAATCGAAACTTGTGCCATCCGATATTGGGGCGATATTTGTTTGGCTGCACTGCAGCCACTTCCTTCGCAATCAGCGAATGCGCCACTTATGAGGATATCTGCTTAACTCGTTCCTTATCTGTGTTTTCGCTCGGAGTTTTCCGGCTGCTGTGCATCTGGGAAAGCTGGAGCTGATTGTCAATTTGCGGGAAGCGAGGGGAGTTCGTCTCAGTCTCGGTCTCATTCCCATCGCCATCCCAGGGGCAAGATGCATGAGGCACGAGGCGCGATGCACGGTGCACAGACTCCCCGCCGTTGTTGTTTGCAAAAATAGAAATTTGTCTCTGATTTTAAGTATTTCGCGTGAAAAGTAACAGAAGCGACCCGAACGGCACGGACCAGACTCTACTATATAGACTATAGACCAGACAAGAGACCCAGACCCAGACATCGGATGGGTGGTGGAGGGGGACCAGGGCTGCCAGCCAGAGTCAGTGTCTCTCAATTGCAAATTTATGTGAATTGAGTCAATTTTATCGCAGCTAGCTAGGGAGTTAGTTTGGGTTAGTTTACTTTTGACTTGTTTGTTCCTACAAAACTTTGCGTCGTTTGACTGGCGTAAATCGTACGACTGGAGCCACTTGAACTTGGCGCTGCCAGTGGCCATCCTTTGGGTACTTCCTTCTGCGCTGCCTCCTCCTCTTCTTGTTCCTGCCCTGCTGCTTAGTTCTGGTGACCATCTGGCACCGCCAATTCCGGATCATTAGCTCGCCCAGAAACGTGAGGGCGGAACAGAAGATGCCAACCACCAAGATGCCAAACGGTCCTTTCAAATGCTCCGTGGTCAGGACAATGTCGGTGCCCGCGAATTGCGGTCGCATCTTGCTCACCCTGTTTAGATACGTGTTATTATACCTAAAGTCAGCGTCGATCTTCTGGAAGATTCCCACGTCCCGCATCAATCGGATGATTCTGTTAATCTCAAAGAGGAAGGGAAAGCCCGCCTTCATGATCATCTGCAGCGGACTACTGAAGACGTTGTAGGGAAAGGCGTATATATCATCCGCCAGGGCACTCTGCATCGTGTACATGCGGTTGCTCAGGATGCACCGCGTGCCCCACTTAACCGCCTCCAAGTTCTTCGTCTGCGGGAGAAACTCGGCCGAGCTGTTGTATCCCTTGAAAATCCACATATCATCGTCGTTCTCGAACCAATCGCGACTCTCCTCGTGGCCGCCATAGGGAATCCCGTGTGCCACCACCTCAGTGAGTTCATCAAGCTGGTGAAGGTATCCGGGATCTTGAAAAGTGGCTATCATTTTGGACGTGTAGGTAGCCACCACATTCAAGCCATACAGGGTCAAGGCCATGAAAAACAGCCTGGTAGCCTCGCAAATGGGACGCTCCTGAACGGCTATCGAAATGGATACAGCCAGAGCATTGATGGCCGTTAGACTTAGCTGCTGGTAGTATTTCGGTTCCGGCAGGATTTTCACCAATGCGAACCAGAACAACCAGCTGATTACGAGAATCAAGATGAAGCCAATCCAGGTTTCGCCCTGAAAGATTCCAACCATCGCTTGCCAGGCGGGCCGTTTTTCGGCCACCTTGATGTACCAGGTGTGTGCATCCTGCAGATAGGTATCAGATCCCCAGAAGTAGTCGGCCACCTCGTTGTCCGGATAAAAGCCACCGATTATAAAGTCGCACTCGTTATCCTGGACTTTTCCGAGCAAGCCAGTCCATTTCAAGTCGGGCTCCATCTCGCCACGTGACTCATTACTGCAGGTTTGGTTCACCTGTGGAGGAGTAGATAAGAGTAGTTTTTGGATCAGATGCTCTAATGCTCACATAGAAGCTTAGTCGATTTTTCATGAATCCCAGGATTCTCATCTCTAGGCCCATGATGCAGTCAGCTTCCACAAACGGGGCGGAGATAGCAGCGCAAACGAAGAATGTGCAGTTCCTAGGACTGAATCCAGCCGAGTAGTCCTTCATGGAAGCATTAACGACCTTGCTACTGGGATAAAGGTCTCCATTGCGGCACTGGCCCAAACTCTGGACATTCAGAATCCGACAGTCCACGTTGCTGTAGTAATCATTGACCAGAATATTATAGTCAGTGGGGGTGGAGGCATAGAGTAAAGCCACCCGATGCACATAAAATCTTTTCATAAGGGCATCGAAAATTTCTGTAGATGTACTCTTAGCCAAATTTCGATTTTTGGCATCGTGATAGAGTATTAGGAAACGGGCTCCAGGATTCCACGATCGCATTTTGCTTGTGTGATTCGTTATCAGATTATTTAATCGCTTTTCGGAGTCCACTATTATCACGTAGTTATCCGCGTATATCAGTTCCCCCATGTTTTGGACCTTCACGTTGCTTTTGTGATCGCTGACCACGCGCATCTGGAAGAACTCGGTCCTATTTGGTTCCGCGGGATACAAAGCTGCCTCGTTTATTAGCTTGCTAAATCCTTCCTGGATCTGATCCGCCGGACTGGAAAGATTAAAAACATGAGCTAGCATCAAGTTATAAGCTCGAGTGAAGCGCTCCGCTGGACTGCGAAGAAAGAAGATTTGGGAAAACTTATCGAGGCAGTTGACTCCTGCTTTCCGAGCCTCGGATCCAAGATCCTTTTCGGGCCTCATGAAGATTACTATGTTGGCCGTTTCATTTGAGAGATTCGCTACTCCCTGGGACAGGTCCAGGATCCCCAAGAAGAGGATGATGATGACACTTGGACAATACCACCACATTATTGTGTCCATCACGTTGGACAATTGCCATTTAACTGCAGCGGGTGTGAATTTTGTCGGGCAAGTTATATGACCTATATCCTTCCTACCGCCAGTTGAGCATATCGGTTCTTGTAGGTAAGATGCAATTTACTTCTTCCTAATGGGACACTCGATTCGTCCTATAAGTTTACTGCAGTTTATCTCAATTGGACACCGCTCCGCATCAAAAAGTTCTGAATGCCTTGGCAAATCTGAGTAATATGATAATCCCAGCCTTTCAAATCCATTAAACCCTTACTGCAGGCTGGTAAGAATGCATTAAATCAATGCCGAGGGGTTTTCCGGGCCGGGAGCGCATTCAACTTTCGCCTTTGGCCGATGTTTGCCTTGTATAATTGACTGCTGTCATCGTGCCGACAACAAGGATGGCCCAACAACAAACAATCGCCATTGCAACATGCAAGGCTTAAATTAAAGCAAATATTTGCTCAGTCGCAGAGGCGCCGCCGCCAACAATGGTCGAAATGCATTAAAACACTCCATCAATCCGAACCTTTTGGCAGGGCGGCCAAAAATACGACAATATGGTATGGTATTGGTGTGGTGCACTAACTTCTGTGCTCTTAGTCCGGTTTGCGGGGGATGACTACGACGACGACGATGATGATGATGGCCCATGGCGTTGGCCGGAAGTAGCCGGTCATAAAAATAAAACTCGAGATGGCCGGCCATAAGCCAAGTCAATGAGTCATTTGCTGCAATGGCCATCCTGCTCCTCGTATTGCTATTGCTCCAAACTGCATCCTTGTGAAGCTCTCGTGTGCGAATCCATGTGGGTGTATCGGCGAGCTCATTTGTCTTAGCAGTTTGTCATTAGAAAAATTGCTCGTAAATTTCCCATTTAATTACAATACAAAACTCAGCAAGTTCAGAAAAGGGCCAGTGCCCAGGGGACTTGAACTCAATCTTTGGGTGCAACAAAGTTGCAACAGCATCAGCGCGAAGATGGATAAACAAAGTTGGCAAAAGGATAAGGAAGTCGAAGAGGGAATACTCTTTTTTGATAAAGTGATATCTCAGATAGTTTCAATAGCTAACATTATGGAATGGTTTAGGGATAAGATTTCTTCCTCACGTCTTATATCTTGAAAAGAAGAATTTCGGCAAGAGTAAAAATGAAAATTTGTGACATCGACATAGATAATCCTTGGCCAACCAACTGGCCTTTTGGGTCAGAGTATGGCCAAAAGCCGCTGACTCATTTGGTTCAGTTCGGTCCAGACAGGCGGCAAAACAAATTGCGTGTGATAATTTAGTGTCATCATTTTTGACATAGGGCGTTAACAGCTCACTTACTCCGCCCCTCAAAGCCGCCTTCATCTCGTTTTGCAGATTTGTGCTGAACCTGAACGACTCGACGCCGCTGACGATTCGCTTCTCGGCGCCCGTGGGCCGCAAGATGTACTACAATCAGACAGGTAAGTCCGCCCCTCCGTTGAGTTGAGCCCCTCCATTAACCCCGCCACCCCGCCACCCCGCCACCTTGTCTTCTCTGCAGGAAATCTTCTCCGGCCCCCGGCAGTGGCACCTGGTCCAGGTGTGGCTGTGGGCAGTCTGGTGCTGCCCTGCGCCCTGCGCGGCCAGTACGACCTCTTCGTCCTGGCCCGCCACTCCGGAGCCCTCAAGGTGGACGCCCTGGCAGAGCATCCCCAGAACGACTGGCCCCTGCTCAATGCCACGCACCGGATCGCCATTCGGACCCAGAACCGCGTGCGGAAGCGCGAGATGATCGTCAAGTGGGACAGGAGGTGAGTTGATTGTAGTCAGCACTGAATAGCCATAAGAATGTTCTTAAATCAAATTAACAAAGTGTTTTCCTGTTTACTTAATCTGATTAACCTTACAAAATCGTTTCAGCAAGTTTGATTACCATGTCATGCACTATTGCCTGGTGATACAGCGACTTTCCGTGGACTCCCCGCCGATAACCTTTGACAATTTCTGCCAGGCGGTAGCCGCCTACGTGGACCAGCGACCTATGACGCCCACTTGCTCCGTAGGCAACCCCGTGGACCTGGTTTGGGGTACACCACCGCAGCGGGAGAGAAGACTCAATCCCCGTCAGAGCCTACACATCGTGTGCACCGGGAAGAAGCGTCAGCAAATGCTTCGACGACTACTCCCGCGGAGCAATTACCAATTAGATTTGTTTGGAGTCCACCAAGCCCGTCAGAACCTCACCGTCCGACTGGCCAGCAGCCAGGTGAACTTCAACAGGACTCAACCTTTGGCTTTGAAGCAGCAGGCTCTGATGCAGCTCAAGATAGGTGGTCAGCATGGCAAACAGGTGTACAGCTTCAAGGTTCCGCAGACGATAGTCCAGGTGGAGGAGCCATTTATGAGGCACCTCTTGATTCCTTGCTCGGGCAGCGAGATCCGGGTAAAACTGCTGCGCCAGCGCAACGAGGTGGGGAAAACGGAGGCCTTCTATAGTCCCACTTATATCAGGCAGAAGGGCGTTTTACCAGGCGAGCGGTATCTCATGAGGTTTGAGCCCAGCAACGAGGATGAAGCGTTGCGGGCCCAGAAAGTTATGGTAAGACTACAATATAAATCGTGAGTCTTTATCCCACAATCTTAGATTATATATATATTTCACAGGTGGCCTTGAGCAGCGAAGCCTTGTTCCGGGACTTGCCAGAACTGCCGCTGAACACTACTGTTTTCAACGTGCGCACGAGGTGCAACAGAGCCACGATTGCCTGGAATGGGTCTCCAGATGAGCGCGAGCTTAGGTAAAACCTTAATCTTTGAAGCATAACATATGTACTTAAACCCCCACTTGCAGCTACTGCATCATAGTGTTCAATCTGCCGCAGCGCAATCGCAGCGTGGTGGACTCCACCAACTACTGCATGGACTTCGTGCCCAAGCGGGTGATGCAGTACAGGAACTTTGAGTGGATGACCTGTAGGGAGCGGCAGCAGAGGTGGGTTCTGAGTAGCCAAGCCACTAACCACAATACATTTCATAATACAATCCACAGTCCCGACAACATCGAAACGGAGACCATACTGAACCTGATGCCGGGCTCCAGTTACCTGGTCTACGTGACCGCCAACTTGAGCATGGGCAAACCCCTGCCCTACCAGGCACTGACCCTCCACATGGCCAGCCAATGCCTGGATGGGTCCCACGAGTCCTTCTACTAAGCGTTGCGAGCTAGGAGTCGTAACCCCAAAAAGCTTCGCTGCATTTTCGAATACAAACACTGAACTATCCGTCGTTGTAAAGCTACCTTATCCACTATGATTACTACACTATCCTACAAGAACTATGCTGGTTAAAAGACTATACACCTAGCTCCATATACTATACATATATATACACTCATATATATATATATATACATATATACAGATGTTCGTGGCAAATGTTGTGTGAGCGAGTGAGTGTGTGCGTGTGACTTATGATTGAGTTTGCCATTTGATTCCAAGTATTTTCGAGTGCTTAGTTTTGTAATTTTTAGCTAGCCGTTAATGTTTGTAAAATAATGTTTTTCATTGGTTTTCCCACTCTGCTTGCCGGGTAATCGTTTTCTAGATTTTAGCCTTAGCACTCCTAGTTTAAAGTTAGTTTTCGTAGGCCTTTGCTGTTAAGTTTAAACCGTAAACAAAGAGTTTGTGTAGTTCTTTTGTACATTAAGCTTACAGTTAGCTCTACATTAGATATACCATTATGAATATATATGTGCGTTGAAAGCGTTGTATTTTTTGAAGCCGAACTTATGCAACCGAAAGGAGGACAATAAACAAATGTGCTATAAAACGAGGAAAGTGTCGCAAATAAATGTGAAACCACTGCTAAAGAAAACCGATTTCTGCAAGGTGTTTTACTCCCGCCAAAAGCTTTTGGGGCATGAATGAATGAGTGATTACCACTAATGTCATCATCACAATCCTCATGCTGATAATGATGATGATGGCGTGTGCAACGAGGTGCGCATAATAATGACAGTGGATAGTAATCTGAACGATAAGCGGCACCCGATAATGAAACATTAAGCCCATCGGTAGTCGCTGGTCATAAATCTGTCGGCAGTCTGTTCGCGGAAGCTTTTAGGTCCGGACCTTTTGCGCGGCATACTTTCGGGCCCCAGTTGGAAATGGCCCTGCTCCACTATACCTTTGACCAACTTGAGTTGTACTTGAAGTGGGCCTTCGCCCAGCATGGGGAGGCCACCCCTAGCACCTCGATCCAACCGTACCCGGGTGTTTTTGTCGGGGACCTCAGCCAGCTCAACCGCTTCAAACGGAACGCCTTCTCCGCCGTGGTGGGCACCCTGTTCGTCCTAGCCTTCGCCGGGAATCTGTCCACCCTCTATGTCAACACCCGCCGGAAACTGCGACCATTCTTTAGAGCCTGTCTAATATCGCTGGCCTGCAGTGATCTCGTCTCCAGTGTCTTCTGCACCGTATCTTATATGGCTCAGTTCCAGGCAGAGTATCTGCAGCTTTGGGTGAGTTGGAAAGACCAGACTTTACTTCTATAGTAAAATAAAAATCGTTCCCTACAGACAATTGGTGGCTTTATGTGCAAGTTTGTGCCGTTCATAACCACCACATCGGTGTTGTCCGGTAGCCTAACCCTGGTGGCCATTGCCCTGGATCGCTATTTGGCCATTATGAGGGCCGTGCTGGGATTCTGGAACCCCGACATCCGCTTCAGCAGTCTGTGCATGCTGCTCATTTGGGCATGTTCGATTGGGGCCTCTGGACCGCTGCTCGGAATCTATGAATACAAGAAAATCTTCCTCCTGGATATGGAGGACTCGTCCGAACAGGCCGAGAAAGTGACAACGGCAGTGCCCGAGGAACTGGTGGTCACCGAATTGGAATTGGTCCACATGTGCCTGGCCGGAGACGTAAGTCAACGACTGGATTATCGCTTTGACAGCGATTAAGCGGATTTGGGAGGGGGGTTGTCAACTTGTTGAATCAATGTTCTGATTATCTTATCAGCAGGGTGAAAAACAATTTATGCAATTCTATAAATATTCTGTTTCAGCACGATGTCGGACTCTACTACGTCATACTGTTCACCCTGATTTTTCTGCCGTGCATAGTGTCCTTCATCTGGTTGAATGCCACGATTGCACGGCAGCTGTGGCTGAGGAGGCACTACCACCAGGAGCAGCAGGTGCAGCAGCAGGAGCCCAAGGAGGGTCACTTTAAGTCCATGGGCAATGGCGGGGATCTCCTGATGCCCTCCACTCTGGTCAGCGCCATAGGTGTAGCCCTGCCTTTTGCGCTGGAGAAGTCTTCTCTTCCACATAAAAGTCCTGTCAAGGATCCTGTTCCCGTCAAGAAGAACACAACTGCTGCCGTGGCCAGAGAGGCCAGACATCGCAGGATGGTGGTGGTGGTGCTCCTGATGATGGCCGTCTTTATATGTCTTCGACTGCCAGCCTGGGTGTTCCTGATCATGCGACTTTATGGATCCTATTCGGAGCCCATCGACTGGCTGCTGTACTTCAGTTTTGGAATACTAAATCTGTTTAGTTGTGCCCTAAACCCGATCTTCTACACCTTCCTCACCCAAACTATCAAGACGGTGTCCCTGGTTAAGCACAAAACCCTTGGATTCTTTGGCTGCGGTCCTAGTAAGGTTCAGGATGCGATGCCCACGGAGCAGATGAATAAAAGCAGGTGCTGCTGTGGTTTGAGGCCACCCACCTTCACCTGGCGCTGCTATCCCGGACGGGATATGGCACCCACCACTGTAATCCGGGATATGGAACAGCCGGATCAGGACTCTGGCAATGACCACCAGGATCCGAGTAGCCTGAATCGATTCCTCAGCTTCAAGCGGGAAGTTTTCACTATTTACAAGCAGTGCGATGACTCGTCGAGTGCGTCAATCGAGTCCTCTGCCTGATAGGCGGGGCTCATAAATCACTCGAGTGCATTTGTCGGAAACGGGGGCCAACGGTTAGCATGAAGCAGAACTTGATTGATGGATCCAGCCCCCGCCTGAACAGCCGCAAAAACGGTTTGTCACGGTGGGCATATCACCTACAAATACGCATATAAGCGCACATATTATGTACCTCATTAAACGTGTAAATATGAGAATAAAGTGAATGGGTGTTGGCAACTAACTAACCATTAACACTTAGCATAATCAAGATCGGGAAGGTCTAACTCATTAAAGTAAACGCTGCTAAGGGTTTGTGTTTAAATTAGCTTTAGTTTTGGCTAAGTTAATTACTTATTTTAACCAAACATGTTAATTAAGAAGCAGAGATAATGTTAATATAGTTCTTTCAAAGTTTTTCCTAAGAATTTTAGTGACTAAAAAGAGGAATTCGTAGTGGATGATATAAACTATAACCAAAACAAGTCTCTAAAGTAGCGACTAACTAATTTTAATCAAGCCAAAATTTGCCGATGATCGCAACGAATTCTAACGAAAATTCGTCTCACAAAGAAACTAATTATAAAGTCACCAGATCGTGGCAGAAACAGTGAATGATCTGTATCGTGTATCGTGTATATAATAGATGCTTCCGTTTTAGAATAATGGCTAACAAGTTTTCATGAAGCGAATTAATTGTCAAATGTTGGGCACGTCAGACCGCAACTATCGAGCAAAAGCTCTCTCTGATTTTCGACCAATGTCTCTGCAGTCGTTTGGATCTAAAAAGACTCTCTCTTTTCCATGAACTTTTGTCGGCTGCAGAGCTCGAAGCTCGACTCAAAAGCTGAATTATGCGTTTGCAGGCATTCAGTGTCGGCGGTTCGCGGCGAGCGGTTGTATTTTCTCAGCGGAAAAACGCGGAGTCTTCGAGCGGCGGGTGAAATCTTCGACGGAAGAAACAACAAAGCGACAAGTGTGGAGTGCAGGCCAAAAAGAAATAAGTTCGATTGTAGAAAATCGTGAGCCAAACAAATGAAACGCAAATAAATGAGGCCAATCAGCGGAGCAGAGCTGCGAATTATGGCACAAAAGTGCCTATAAATAGTGTAACTAAAGGAAAGAAAAAGTGGCAAGCGAGGAAAAGGCATAAAAAGGGAAAGAAGAGAGATCAAAATAAAGAAACCAGAAACCGAAAGAACAAAGGCGGGTTCGTTGTGGGTCAAGAACGAAAGTTCGGCTCAAAATAGCCCGTTGATTGTGCATTTTTCGGAAGAGGTAACTATGCGAAGTCTGCGGCTTGGTCAATGTTTTGGTTTGGCTTGGCTAGATTGGAAACCAGTTACTCTTTTTTCTTTACTGTTACACATTTCGTCAGAAGCAACGCGTCAGGAAAAACACGTTTGCGCATTTCACTTTGGGCATCTTAACTTGTCGCGCATGCGCAGACCGTCTTGCAAAATCCCCACCTTGTTTCACTTTTTCCGGCCCATTCTAAGGCGATACTCCGCACTGATATATACATCCAAACTATCCAAATCCGATCTTCTGGTTACGCAGCTTTACGCTTTCGTTTGGGATTCTATTTTCCGTTTCTATTTGCGTGCAGTTTGCTGTGCTCGAGGTATTTGAGGTTCGATGAGTGGCTATGTGGCTGCATGTTTAATTAGCCCCCGCTAACCAAATCGCTCGGGCCACAAAAGCAAATATATAGGCCAGTGTTTGGTCATGACGAGGCTGTTCCATTGGCCACTGCCCAGTTCAGCCATACGAATGGCAAATAAGCCACACGCACTCCCCGAAGCTTGACCATGAATATTAAGTCGCCTAGAAGAAGATCGAAATGTCTTTAATGGGAGATCGGAATACCTCACTTTTCTAATGTTTACGTGCCTAAAATGGCAAGTAATTGCTACTTGTTGTTCGTTAATCAATCCCAAAATATCGAAATTGGGGTTACTTCTTAGCCACATTCTCGAGATCGAAGCTTTCTTTTGTGAAATCAATTAAAAACTATCAATCACTCTTGGAAATTACTCGAAAATTTCCACAGGCCAGTTTGCCGCGGGAAAAGAAAAGAAACTCACTTTCGTTTTCTTCTGGCCGCCAGTCTCTCTAGACCGCGCTCTCCCATCTCTTTCCTAATTATTATAAAACCAGAAATGTTCATTAAAACATTACATGCAGCGTGACCGAGACTGCAGCATTATACAATAGACACTAAAAGCAAAGCCAACAAGATTGGACGGAGTGACTTAAGCCCAGAGATAGTAGATGGGAGTGGGACCCACTCCATTTAGCACATGCCCCAGTCTTTCCAAAATAACAAAGGCGAACGAAAGAAGAAATTAAATTATCAAAAATAATTTCTAAAGAAAGTGAAAGTTTTCGGGCGCGTATACCGTTGCCCGATGAGTGGCCCTTTTTTTGGGAGTAATCGTGCCCTGAATGAACGACACTAACATACCTTTTGGGTACGAGTATATTGTGAATGAGAAAGCTGGAAATCAGAACTGTCGGATGCAGATGGTGTGTGCCAAAAATCCATTTTCTGACCACGTGTAGTCGGCGGAACCGGTTAACTGAGAGTCTGGTCCAACATTTGATAGTTTTGTAATGTCTTTTGGTTGGCGGGTTCAGGCGTTTTGATGGCTGTAACTTGACCTGCATTCAGTTGGAAATTAGTGTTGTCCTCAGCTAACCTTGTCCGCGAAACGAGTTTCCAGTTCTCTGCCCCCTATCAAATGTGTTAATAATGCATTTTTGCCCGAACCCGGGGCCCTAGAGAAGACACTTTCGATTTTCGCTCGAATCACCGCGGCAAATAAAAAGTTTTGTACCCTCTACTATTACAAGACGCCGACGATTTCTCTCCCGGGGGCCAATGTACCTTCGTGCGACACTTGTCCATCGTCGGTCGGAGTGTCTGGCTTACGGATGAGGCATAGCCGCCGATTTGGCGGGGCTATGCCAATTGGATGGCATTGAGCCCGCTGCATAATGTAGATGTAGCCCGCTCACAAAACTCGGAGCACTCCTAAGGCCCGCCATCACAAACAAATCAATTGGCTTTAGTTGGTTTGTTTACTCGCACTTGATTGTTATTTTATATATCGTGTCATGTGATAGTTGCTTGGATGGGTGGGCCATCAATTGGGTGTCTGCGGATGAGTCAGGGTCAAAGACGCGCAAGTGGGGGTCAATATTACCTTGCGTTCCACGTTGTTAGTGTTAGTTAGTAAACACACTAAGAGTTGTCACACAAGTCTCATTATCTCTTTTAATGGGGATTTAAATGAGTACCGAAGTTCTCTGATAGATTTATTTAAATTAGTATAACTGCTGATTCAGTTCGGCGGGTTTCCTGTTTATAATATTATTTGAGCCTTCTCTTGTTTCTCGATTTGAATCTTGTTTATTTATTTTGCGTACTCAACTCGTTATTTAGTTCACACTGATAAAGTTGTTTCCTCGCAACAACAGAAACTTGATAGCTGGGTGTTAAATTATAAATAAAACTAAAGCGGTAAATAAATTTGGGGATTCATCAAGGCACAGATGCTGATAAGGCAATTTGATAAGGCCATCTCAGCAGAAAACAGTAAGGGAACTGAGTAAGTGCCGGGGAATGTGATATTCGGCAACACTTAAAGCAAACAAAAGTCGATATAAAGACATCGCACGTACATAAGTCGTCGGCCACAGTGGGCTACAAATGTATCTGTCAATCCCAATAAAAGCGTTGCAACAATTCCATCTAATGTTGAATGCATCAGGAGGTGACATTTCCCCGATTGCTGATGATGTTGCTCGAGTGTGTTGTTCGTGTTGCTGCTGCCGCTGCTGCTGCTGTTGCTGTTGCTGTTGCTGTTGCTGTTGCTGTTGCTGCTGTTCCCCATATCGCTGCTGTGTTGTGGGTGTTCAAACATGTCTGCCATTTACAGCTAACGAGATTTTAAGTGCTGTCAAATGTTGATGAAAGCGGCAAGCACCCGCACACAAATTGAAATTTAGATTTTGTATCCCTAGTGACGAGCAATCGGAAAGGTCAAGTGGAGAAGGGATGTGGAGGTGGACGGATTTGGGGGCTTGGAGCTGGCTGAAATAGGATTTGTGGCCAAGCAACATAATGCGACAAAAGCCAAAGGGCAATTTATGGGCTGTGGGCGGAGATACCTTTGTGGCTGAATAAATGAGCAGGATTTACAAACAAGATGGGTACTTACAATCATGGCATCAAATGTAATAACTCAGCCCAACATTATTTGACATTTGGAATGAGATGCCAGTTGACCTGACTCCTCAGCAGAAATTTCTACTAGAATATTTACCAACCAGTCAATCTATTTTACCCCTGAAACTCTCTCAAAAAATCTAGGAATTCGGGTAACCCTTTGATTGAGATTACAAGCAGTTAACAACTCCGCAGCGAGGTTATGAAGAGTTATAGCAGCAGCCAGTTTATTTATGAGACTGTCCTCTCCATTACATAAATGTTAATGTTACTAGCCATAAATCAAGCCGGAAAAGAAACTGCATACTGAAAACCAAAACAAACCGAAAACGTTGATGAGCCACCGCACATACTCTTACTTACAAAAGCCGCGTAATGAAACTCGGTTCCACAAAATAATGACTCTCCAATTTTCTGTCTCCGCTTATTATTTTGTTTTTTTCGGGTAAACCCGGGTATGTAGGTCAAGCCGCCTGCTACCTGCGGAGCTTCATACTTGGGGAAACCTGGCGTAGCGAAGTCCACAAGTCCACACATTATGACACAGCAGCAGCCGCCATGGCCGAGTCCCAGGGGAAAATGCTGGCTCATCCTGGCCCTTCTAGCTTTTCTCTTGGTTGCAGATGGTGAGTAATGTGAGGGCTATTACCTGAATCAATGGCTAACTGAAACACCTCCACAGTTGCCGCCCTGCCCTTCCTGTTCACGCACATCAAACCGCAGATAAACTGGACGCAGCCGGAAATGGAACGCTGGGTTATTGAGGAGCAGCCTCGCAGCATTGAGCCCCATTTGGAACCTACGCTCCACCCAAATCGCACTCACCGTACTTTATCCTCTGATACCTCGGACTCGGAGTTCCTGCAACGTTTGGTCGACATCCGACACAACCAGTCGGCGACTTCCAGAATGTTGTGGTACGATGTGGCCGGCGGAGATGGACTGGTGTATCCCCCTTTCGTGGATAAGGCCCTGAAGCTACTGAATCTCAAACAGGTGGCCTTCGAGATCGAGAACAGCGTGATGTCCAAAGTAACCTGCACCGCCTGCAGAGCTGGTGCCGGAATGCTTCAGCATCAGATTCAGTCCGGGAAGACGGACGCGGAGCTGATCCGCATGATCACGGACTACTGCACCAATTTGAATATTCAAAGTGCCCGAGTTTGCCAGGGAGTGGCCCAACTCTTTGGCAGCGAGTTGATATATGTTCTCAAGAGGGTCAACCTAAGTCCCGATGAACTCTGCAGCTTCGTAATAGGCGATGGATGTGCCGATGTGTATAACCCTTACCATGAGTGGGAGGTGATTTTCCCTCCAGTACCCAAACCACCTCGTCTCGCAGATCTGCCGATTCCCATGGAAGCGGCTCCCTTCTTCAAGGTCCTGCATATTTCCGATACCCATTATGATCCACATTACGCGGAAGGCTCCAATGCAGACTGCAATGAGCCACTTTGCTGTAGATTGAGCAGCGGACGTCCAGCCACTCCAAATGCGGCAGCTGGGAAGTGGGGAGACTACCGGAAATGTGACACCCCCAAAAGGACCGTAGATCACATGCTGTCCCACATCGCAGAGACGCACAAGGACATCGACTACATCCTGTGGACAGGAGATCTGCCACCTCACGACGTGTGGAATCAGACGAAGGAGGAGAACCTGGCCATTATCAAGGACACTGTGAAACAGATGGTCGAAATGTTCCCGGGAATCCCCATCTTCCCAGCGCTGGGGAACCATGAAAGTGCTCCGGTCAACAGCTTTCCCCCGCCGTACGTCAACCAGGTGGATATCTCCATTAGCTGGCTCTATGATGAACTAGATGTGCAGTGGCGCAGGTGGCTGCCCCAGAGTGTGACCCATACGGTGCGACGTGGTGCCTTCTACTCGGTGCTGGTTCGTCCTGGATTCAGGATCATCTCGCTTAATATGAACTACTGCAACAACAAGAACTGGTGGCTGCTCCTGAACTCTACGGATCCCGCCACAGAGCTGCAATGGTAAGAAAGACCTTTTAAGAACAATGAATAACGTATTAAACTATAAACTACCTTGACTTAATCCTTTAGGTTCATTTACGAGCTTCAAAGTGCCGAGTTCTCTAATGAAAAGGTCCATGTCATAGGCCATATTCCACCTGGTCATTCAGACTGCCTTAAAGTCTGGTCTCGCAACTTCTACAAGATCATCTCGCGTTACGAGAGCACTGTGACTGCTCAATTCTATGGACACACGCACTACGATGAGTTTGAAATGTTCTACGACCCTCATGATCTGAGTAAGTTAGCTAAATAGATAAAAGTATCATTACAGTCTAAATTAATAACTTTTTATAGATCATCCTAATGGAATTGCCTACATTGGACCCTCTGTATCGCCATATTATGATTTGAATCCTGGCTATCGGATCTACTACGTGGATGGCGACCACGATTCTACGACGCGACTGGTCATCGACCATGAGTCTTGGATAATGAATCTCAAGGAGGCCAATCTGTACGGATACCCCATCTGGTACAAACTTTATACAGCCCGAGCGGCATACAACATGAAGGCTCTACGCCCCAGCGACTGGAACAATCTGCTCAACCAGCTGACCAATAATCAGGAGCTATTCGAGATGTACTACAAGTAGGTTTTTGGTATCTAAAGTTTCTTCTTAAATTTTTTATGATGTTTTTGTTTTAGATATTACTGGAAAAACTCCCCTGCGCGACCCACTTGCGATGCCGAGTGCAAAAAGAGATTGATCTGCGACTGCCGAAGTGGACGTTCCCACGATCGGAAGCACTTCTGTGCCGAGGTCGAATCCAAGATCGATGAGGAGTCGTCCAAGTCGTGGAAGTCCTGGTTCTATAAGGGACTGACCAACTCGTAAGCACTGTTTAGTTTAGCTGCGTGTTTTTCTGGTGTCGGTCGCTAAAACTAATCTAATTCGACGTGTAACTAATCACTTGCTTTTAGTCCTAGTGCTGTCACTCGATTATTTGTTCTCCATTTCGCATTCACAGTTTTAATTTTACCCGATAATAACGATACCATTTTATTTTCCGCACTGGTGTGGTTCATGCAACAACAATTAATCGTAACACTAGTGCCGAGGATCGGACAGAAGAGCCGTCGACGACCACCGATAGTGATGGCTACGGCCCACTCGATGTGGTGATTGTTAACGTTGGTGGTTAAGGCCTGTACATACATACACTTATACATATTTGGTGAAGGACTCTGTAGTTTCCATGACAATAAATGACCCAGATTCTCACCTTCAATGCTCTTTCTTCTGCCGCAAAGCTATAGCCTGCTGTCCTCCATAACCTACCTGCCCAAATACCTGCTGGGATACCGATGAGCTTATCTGACCTGGTCCGATCAGACAACTGCAAGTCAATGCAATCGCAACGAAGGAATACACCTACCCCATAAGTTTACTATGTGATAACTAGTGCTTAATTCCCATTTGTCTAAGTTTACATTAACGCAATGATGTCCCAAACGGCCCGGCCCAGAGCTCATACTTTCAGACCTTAGAAGCGCCCCTTCGGATACTGAGTCAGTGAACAATAGTCATTTAACTATAATCGAGTCGTTGTTGATGCCCTAGTTGCTGCATTTCGGGGCGTGGCGGGTGCGCCCTTTTACGTAATGGAAATTGTTGAACAAATTACTTTTTAGACACCTAATTGTAATGCTAATCTAGGGCTTAACTTAAATAAAGTGAAATTATTTGTAATAACAAAATATATTATTTTTCTGAATTGAATTTTCCTTCATAAGACTGAAAATTTCAATTCGTTATCTTGAAATTCAAATTCAAATATACCAGTGCTGTAAAACAGTGTCATGTTTCGCTTAGCAGCACTGTTTTTATCAGTGTGCTTAACAGAAAAGAGCTATGTTATTTTACATAGCGGTTATCGATAGCGCAATGTTATGCACAAAGAATCGAGCTATGGCGGTTGATTTAAAAAGTGATAACGTTCTGAAGCTTAACTATACTGCAATTTATTAGAAGCTAATGGCTGCTTTCTGTCAATTGTTATAAAAGAAAATAAATAAAACCTCCAATTTAGAAAATGTCTGCACTAAAACTTGAGATTTTGGTTTGAATAAAGAACATATATGCAGAAAGGACCAAGCAACAGGAAAATACTAAGTAATATTATAACTTATTATAGTAAATTAATATTATTTAGGTTCGATATCCTCATCAACAAGTGCATAATATCTTCAAATTACCCCGACGACCTGTTCGCAATGTGCTTTCCCTCCGTAAGTTCATACACCCGACCCGCAGGATCAACCGACGCAAGTCTTTTGAGCAAACTCCAGTAGTTAATGACAAAGGGGAATCGGTGGACACATCCTAGTCGTTGTCAATACGCTCTGTTGGCCGTTGCCTTGAGCTTGCTGAGCGGCCGTGCGTGTTTTCCTTCATTGGTGATAAGACACGCAGCGCGATGTGTGTGGGTGGGGGTGTAAGTGGGGTTATCCCGGCTGGCAGTCATTATCCCTTTGTCACACACACACCCGCACGTTTCCCACACTCACCCACACATACAGCATCGAGCGGGCAAAACAATTCCGTTTACATTTCCCACATCTCCTGCGAAGCATTCAGTCCATACACCCACAGACCCACACAATCACACACCCACACCCATAATACAACCAAATGGCGTGTGCCGCCTTCCTTTTTTCTGATTTCCCTCATGTTTTTGTTGCTTTGCATACTTTTAGGGGACGCTGCCGCTGGGAACCGCACATGTGTGTGTGCCACAAACAAACAAACAAACAAAAAGACAAACAAACAGAGAGCCCAAAAAACAACAGCAGCGACGGTGAAAAGTACAACAATGCAATGCGTGCAAATTTTTAGAAAAATATACAAACACCAGGGGACGGGGGCGTGGCATTATCTCATGTGGCAGGCACATTCACAGGATCTCGATGCCGCGCTTAAATGCCGCTTAACATATTTGATTTTTCTTCTTTTCCCCGTTTCCGGCTTCCATTCTTTTTCCTGGCTTTTTGTGTTGGCCTTGTTTGTTTTGGTTATGCGATTGTTGTTGCTGTCAAAAGCTGGCAAATAAATTTGCATTTCGACAAAGCGCGAGAATTCACACATGTTAACCCATTAATGCCCAATCTATTGCTACAGCTATGGAATTAATAATAATTCTGGTAGGAAGGATTCTTAAAAATATTTCGAACGAAGAAAAACTAACAAAATTGTTTTAGCACTTTCTCCTTCGGCCAGTTTTCAGTGGGTTAATTGGACAAAGAGCGATTCTCTTTAGAATTGGGGCCTTCATTTGAATGCCAAAACACGTTTTTAAATAAATCAGCGTATTAATTATTCTTGCTTGCATAAATCGTTTCGCTGTCGATGCTGCCTGCCCCAGGAAAATTGTATTCCCCTTCGATTTTCCGACCCCCTGCTGCTGGCGACACCTCCGCACATTTTTATTAGCTACGCATAATTGCTGCGGCAATAAAGTTGTTTTTCCCCGTTTGTTTGGCCCCACTGGTCGAAAAAAGGACAAGGACGAAGGACATGGATGGGGACGTGGATGTGCCAGGGGGCATTGCGCGTGACCCGACAACATAACGACATTTAAGTGGCCACCGCAGCAGGAACAGCAACATCAGTAGTATCAGTATCAGCCGGAGTCCTTCTGCTCCAGGCTGTGGGCGTGGTTTCGGCCATGTTTGGCAACATGTTACAAAAAATTGATGCCATTGCTGTTTTTCCCAGCTATTGTTGCTGCAGCTGCACACAGTATTTATTGTTACAAGCTTTAGAGAAAAGCGAGGGACGAGTGCGTTGAGTAAATATATTTGCAAAATCTTTTTCACCAGCAGACATGGCCAATTTTAGCATTAGTCTAACGAGACTAACGAGACTCCTTCCTACAATTTAAATTCATTAACCAGCAGTTTGGCAGATATGGTAAGATAACATATCAGGTTTATTTCGTATTTCAAATGCATTAAAATCACTTTTCAAATAATCTGTTATACAAAAACGGCATTGTCTGAGGGTGTATTATGAATCGCTTTGGTATTAAGGGACTAGACATTATTGGGCCTGCCAATTCTTACAGGTCATTAGATATAGGTTTTACACCTTACCCTCTCACTGTAATCTTATTCGTTGTCAGATTCAGTCTAGTCATTATCATCCGCAATGCCCAGAACGTCGAAAATGTCCTCGAAGGTTGGGGTTTCCGACAGGAGACCCACTTCCCCCGGAACATCGATGCCCCTCAGGCGCATGCAGATTGCCTCGATGCTCCGCCAGCTTTCCATGCTGCTCTGAGAAGAATTTGAGTTCTGAATTGCCTGCAAGGAAGTCTCGCACAGGTTGTCCTTGCGCCAAACGCTTTGCGGAGGATCGTTCATCTGTTTTACTGACTTTCTACCCTTACTAGTCTCTTTTTTTCCGCACGACGAGCTAATGCAGGTGGAGCTCCACATTGGATCCCTTTCGATACTTTTCATAGAACCGGACCCAATCGGAAAGACATCACCGCTGCTCTCAGTAATAATCAAATATTCAGTCGAAGCATCTTTCTCCGGTGGCTGGGAAGTGGAAGTAGAAGGTATCGACGGCAATTCGGTTACCACTATTTCTGAATCTGGTTCGTTATTACTCTTAAGAACCGTAAAATCATTGTCATAAGTCCGCGGAGCAATCCACGTGGATAGCATAGACTTTGGATCCGTACCCGTACTGGTCGTCGGAAGTCCATGCAAATTGGAAAGAAAATTGGGCATCACAGTCTTTACAGAAATCTTATTATCCAGGTTCTGGTGGAAAACCAAGTCTGAACCCCGATTATTCCACTCAGGAGGGGTCACCTGAATATTCGGCTCTGTATCGGTATCCAGCAAGGCAACATTCCCTAGCCCAAAAGGAATTATCTTCCTTTGGCTGCTTTTTTTAACGGCTCCCTTTTTCCGGTCAGCGGAATTTTCGCCAGTGCTTGATATGATTATGCAATCTGGCAGCTGCACCTGATCCACTTTGGGAACCTCGCTAGGAACTTGCGAACTGGGGATCAGAGGCTCATTAGTTTCCTGCAGGAAAATTTCCGCTTCTAAAAGGTTTCCCCAATCATGGCATAGTTTGCCCAAGCTTTTCGTATTCGTATTCTCTTTGTTGCCAATATCGGTGAAAGTCAGTAGACCCTTGTTACTCTTCGGGAACGAAAGATGAGGATCTTCTGAAGGACGGGGATTACTAACAACCTTATTAGACACATTCCTTTCCCTTAATGTGCGCCGGCAGTCGTTGCAAGACGATAGGTCCTGCGAACCCTCAACCGGATTTTTCTGGCTGGTACTAGGCTGTTGGGCAATGGGTAAAAGAGTCTCGACAGTCATTCGAGGCCCCGGATGAAGATCCGCTGGAGCTGGGCATCATGGGACCTATTTCTACCAGTTCGCTCCTGGGCAGGTGCACCGAACACTGCTTTCGATTCCAATTCCTCTTCGACTGCAAATATTAATTAATATAGTGAAATTGTAGCATTTTTTAATACTATTTATTACCATTTTGTGGTATAGAACAAAATCGTGGCAGAATAAAATTCAGGAAAGCCTGAAACGCAGTCGCACATGTCAATGTGCAATCACGAAAGAATTAACGATGGCCAAGATGGCGAAAGTCACTAATCAGGGTTGCCAAGGTTCCGCAGAAGCGTTAGCTTTCGAAAAAGTATTGCACAAATCATAAGGTCAGTCCAACACATAAAATATTTACGTTTTTTGAAGGAAGTACTACGTTCTTAAGAAATGTTTGTTTGTTCAAATTCCAACTAATAACACAAGGCTGCCCACTTGCCAAGGTTGCCAGATGAATTTAAAATACGACCGTTTCGATTTAAAGCTGGAGTTCAGTGTTGCCAACAGTTAAAATATCGCTTTGGGTAAAACTTTTAAAAATATAAATGTTTTTAGCAGCTTTATTTAATTTATTCTGTATTATTTCAACTATTTTTTGGTATAACTATAAATATTCTCATTTTATTATATTTTTGACCTATTTCTAAAATAAGTTAAAATAAAATAATTATGCATTGCTGTTTTATTATATGAAATATATACTTTTTAGGTCTCAAACTGGTTAAAAAAATAAAAGAAATAGACTTAACCCAGATTTTCGGCAGCCTGTAATCATGTCATAATTCGACACAATGCCACAGATTAGAGCAGATGGCCTATTACAAAATATGTATTGAAGACCCTCCCCCAAGCAGCAGTTGTCAGCTGGCTTTAACCATCCGGATCCCGCCGTCACTTTCAGCGGTTGTCAATGTTGTTGGCGCTATTGTTTCGGGCAGCGTGTAAAGCGCGAAAGGAAAATGTTATTTAATTACTCAAGCAAAAGCATGACAAGTGGAAATGTCGCCGGGCGAGGGTCCTGGACTCAGGACTCAGAAGCCGGGATCCAGAGTCAGGCTCAGCAGGCCTGTCAGCTTGTCAGGAGCAGGCGCCATGGAAAAGCCGCCGGCGCACTGGTCACTCTTGCTCGCTTTTGTTTAAATTTAAATTCTATAAATAAATTTGCAGGAGGTCGGAAGGGGAGGGGCATGTTTGCCATAAGCACGAGCAAGTGGATTGTGACTACTGCAGTTGGCATCGCTGTTGGCCACTAAACAAAAGCAGGCACTGTGTTGTCCCCATTTGTTAACCATTTTGTATGCCCGAAAATCGTAGGACAGTTATTTGTGGTAGCTGGAGGGTCTGGGAGTCCTGTGAGCTCCTGCTAGTCTGCTCTGGTCAGTTAAGTTTCTTCTTTACAGGAACTAAATTTCCATATTTAATATTTCGTGTAACTAAATGATGCATTTTTGTTATATAAATAAATATATTTATAAGGAAGTTGTAGTATCATTCACATATTTACATTAAGTGAACTTTCCCATCAATGTCCTTACACACATCCAACATTCTTGGAAGTCTTCATTCCAGTCTGAACCCATCTGTCATCCTATTCATCCATTTCTTTCCATGTGACAAAATTCCTTTGGTTGCTTCTGGTATATGGCTGATTTTTACTTCTTTTATGGCACAACAATTTGTTGTTCCTGCAACTGGAACTGGAGCTGGAATGCATTCGATTCGACAGACTCGAACGCCTTGAGCCCAATGTTAATCCGATGTAAGCTCGTGTCCAAAGTCCACAGATCTCCACGTCATGCTTCAATTGTTCCCGACATATTGTTCTCGACAGAGTCCCACCCAAAAGAGCTGGGCAACGGAACTGGGAGCCCGGGACCATCACATGTGCTCACCTTTGCCATCAAAAAGCAACCACAGGGGAGAACAGGACAAAAAAAATAATCACAAGGATGGGGCGAAAAAACGATGTATGTAGGTTGGGCGGTTGGTTGGTTGGTTGGTTGGCTCGTTGGCTGGCTGGGGAAATAGTAGTAGAGATAGGAAAGCGAGCAAAAAAAAATCTCAGCTGCAAATGACTTGTGTGCCATTGAGATAAACCCAAAATTTATTTATTTTTGCCATAAACCCGAATGCAGTCAAGGCAAAAAGGACTTTTGGCCAAGCCATTGTGATTGTGTCTGTGTGTGTGTGTGTGTGGCAGGCATTTGTTGTGCCTGTATTTGTGTTTGAGCTTTCGACAGCAACAACAAAAGCGATGACGATGGCAACTAACTACAAATCCGTAGGCAATTAATTTGGCTAGAAAGCCCAAAAATACAAAACACCCGCCCGCATATCCGCATGTGTATGTGGGTGGGTATGTGTGTGCGGAAAATGGGCAAAATATTAAAAGGGGGAGGAGTCTGCCAGATGGAAATGGAAAAGCGCCGCGCTCGACGTCAGCGTCAGTCAGTGGGAAAAAACGCAGAGAATCTGGCTAAGGAAAAAAACAGTTTGAATGGAAATTCAATTGAGTGACATGAAAATGGAATTTTTCATATTTTCCCCATGTTTTTGTTGCTCTCTGCTGAGATGAGAGAGCTCGTGTTTGGCTGCCAGGCACATCACAAACACAGTTGGTTCTTCATGTTGCTGCTGTTGCTTCTGTTGCTGCTGCTGCGGCTAACAACAACTATGGCATAGGAAAACGCCTGGCAGCCAAACCAGCAACATCCTCGCACCCACACACCCAAAAGAGTCCTGGCGGAGATTATGCCCGTCCCTGTCATTGCGCTACCTCTCTCTCTTCCGCAACAAAAAAACGTTTGCTTCTGACATTTTCATAATTAGGTATTCAAAATCTTTAATAACGGTTACTCTTGCTGGTTGCCGCTGCTGTTGCTGTTGCCGCCACTGTTGTTGCTGCTATTGTTGCTGCTGCTGTTGCTGCTGCTGAGAGCTGCCAGTTGCCACACAAATACGCATATTATCCTTATAGAGTTTTTGTGTCTTTGGGGCATACGAATGCTGTGGCAAGGCTTTGTTGGAATACATGTTGCTGCTGTCGCTGTTGCTAGTTGCTGTTGCTAGTTGCTGTCATTACCGTTTCTAATTTAAAACGAATCTGTTGTTCATGCTCAAGATCCAACTGATGAGTCCTGTCAAGACTTAAGTTATTGAGGAATCACCGCAACTGCGTAATTGCTGCTGTCATGAGCTTCCCCTTTCTCGGAACGCCTTGCATTGTCCGCACTTCACTTGCAGTCAACATTTTTACGCTCTTCACTTTGGTCGTTCTTTCTTGGCTTTTCATATCCTGGACAGGACAGGCCTGCAGGATTGTCGCTGACGGCGACAATTTTAGCGCGTCTTTTGCCTCTGGACTGGACAACCGCTGAGCAACTGTCTCAGGATGTCGAGGAAAAGGAAAGGAAAGGCACGGGGACGAGGACGAATGCGTGCACAAGGGCAATCCTAATAAGGCGCCCAGTGGGTGCCCAGTTTACAGCTACCCGAACAAGGCCATTACCATCCATGAAGTGTTATCTGCCGACACCCAGTTGCCGATTCCCATATCTGCTACTCCCAGCCAGAAAACCCCGCCTTGCCCCCGAAAGCCCCGCAAGCAGAGAGACACCCAAACAAACAGCTTCATTTTGACCTGCTGGCCTAGAGGACGCATCAAGTGGGTGGTGGGTGGTGGGTGCTTGATGTTTGGCATGGCGTTTGTGTTTGCTCTGATTTTGTTTGCCGAATTGCCGCTGAGCAAACAACTTCCTTATCGCAGCGATACACGCTGCCTTTCGCCAGATAAACACAAGTGACAAGCGACGCATGTGCAGCAGCAGCAGCAGCAGCAGCAGCAGTTACAGCAGCAACAACATGTCATTGGATGTTTAAAATAAAAATTAATAATTCAATTATGCGTCAACAGCATTCCGTTGTTTGTTCTCCCACCATCTATACGTATATATTCGTTTTTTTTGCGACTGGCCATTTGGGAACGGACTTTTGGTCCGGTCTGGTCGCAGCTGTTGCCTGCCGATGTATGCCACTCCAAATTGCCGTGATTTCATTCAATTTGTCGCAGCAGCAACAGCAGCAGCAGCAACAGCGGGAGCAGCAACAAATGTTGCCACTTGCCAGCCAGCGCGGCCCAAAATTGTTTTCGTTTGCTACGTTTCATGAGAATATTCCTGCTTCTCTCTCGTTTCCATTCGCCAGTGCGAAATGCGCATAAAAAAATGCTGTGTCCAACGCCCACAATTCGCCCAGGCACCCAAACCACCCAATTTCTGTCCCATCCCCATCCCCAATTCCATCCCAATCCCCCCAGAAATCCCAGACGACGACGTCAGGCTGGTGTGCCAATGCACAATTGTTGTTTGTATGAGAAAATCTCGCCTAATGGCGTTTTACATTATTTGCCGCCTGATGCTGCTCTTCCGACGACGACGACTTCGCTGCCATGGCCAACTGCTACCAAGTGGCAGTAGTAAAAGAAGCGGCCTTCCACCCACTGGCCCACCCAGCCCCCTGGGTTTCCCAGCTCGAGTGCCAAATGTTCGCTCTCTCTGTCGCTCCACGTTCAAGTTTGTGGTTTAGGGTGCTTGGGTTTTCGGTTGTGGCAAGTTTTCCTCATAGAAGGGAAATCGGGGGAACTGCGGCTGCTGGACAAGATGAATGGCCACTTATTGGCCAAAGCGGGTTTTGTTTAAATTGTGGTGGTCAATTTGTTGGAATGTATTGAAACGTCTTCGCAGGCGTAGATTGATGGTGCCACCAGATGGCTGGATGATATGCATGGCCCATGTGATAGATATGTCAATCGGTGGCTAATTACTATTGGGCTGGCATGGGAAACACCAAAGACTCGAATAGGGCAATGAGTAGAGGTTAGCTTAATATTATATTATGTATAAAAAAATCAAACTGAAGAGGAGTGCTCTTCAAACAGAGCCTAGACTAATTGACACCGATACTTTATTAAGCTAAACAAGCTAAGTTAAACATTAACAAATATTTTATGATAAGTATCTGATAAATTATCATGTTCAGTATATTATTTTTTTAGCACCTTATCTTAAACACATGGATAATCCCAACAATTTGATACAATCCCTGGGAAATCGAATCGACTAACGAGCAAATGTGATCCAGAACTCCCCGAACTAATTGCTTTCGAGCACTGATCTCTTAAACCCCCGATATCCGCCCGTTTCCCATTTTCCATTTCCAATTGGAGATCCCGCATGGAATCGAACCGAGCTAAATCGCTTCTAATTTGCTAGCTCATTTCGATGGCCTGGTGGTCGTCCCTTCGGGGTGGACTGAAGGCGGGCGGGGGTGGACCTGAGCATTTGACATGGTGTGAACACGCGCATAAGGGCCTTTTTGCAGGAGGGGGAATCCCCTAAAGGGAGTGCGACTGCGAGTGCGAGTGTGGGTGTGAGTGTGTGCACAATTGGTTGGCAATTTATTTAAATATCGGCACGCAGTTGGGAGCGGAATGGAACGCAATGCCAACTGGAATGCCAAGGCAGTGAAATAAATGCGAAGCAGCAACAGCAACAGAGAGACGAGAAAGAAACAAGCTGCTGCCAAAAAGGAATTTTTCAGCTGCCGCCGAGGAAGGAAGGAGAAAGAGAAGGGAAGGGGAAGGAGTGAGGAGGATAGGAGGATAGGAGGCGGGGGTCTGAGTTCAGCAGCAGCTGATGTTAATAGCCCAGCGGGCCAGCGAGTGTCTGCCCTGGCAGTTGTTGTTGCTGGCCCCGAACGGACGGGGGAGAGCGGTACCGAAACAGCTGTTCCATCTGCAAATGCGCAGGCGCCTTGAGTCCGCCGACGACGACTGCCGACTGCCGAGCGGATTGCCGAACGGAGCGGTCGAACATGTGCTACCTGGGCCGCAGTACTGCTCTCACAAACAAACCCAACTTTCGACTGTTCGGACGTCCTCAGTTCCAATCGCATTCGCAGTCCGGCTTCCGCGTGTTCTCGTGCATCCAGCGCGCCATTCAAGATACGACCCAAAGATACTTTCGCATCCATTGGGACTCTGGTTCAGACTCGCGTTCAGATTCAGATTCAGTCGTTTGGCGTTCCTCCGAGATGCCGGTTCGCGTATCGCGCTGCGGGCTCCGTTACAATGATTCGATGGTAAATAATGCCCACAAAGAACCGGTCGCGAAGTGTTAAGTCCATCAAGAGTATCTCGAAGATAGCAAATAAGGCGGTCAGCAGTCGGACATTTATCCAGAAATACACTCCATCTATACAGCATCGGGACAACAGAGATCTGCCAAAATGGTGAGTCCATGCAAATTGTATCTCGACATGAACATGAGCTATGGCCAACACATGTTGATTGTGGCCAGCTGTCCTCTGCCACTCCAAGTGTCTTTGGTCTTATAGACAGCATATACTATATATATGTGGTAGATATATATCTGTGGGATGGCTGGTCGCATCTGTTTTTTATCTGCTTAGACTCAAGCAAATTCGCCGGGCACAATTGCAGATACAAATTCGTTTGTCAAGTGCCCGAATAATAGTTTAAGACGGAATACACACACTCACTTGGAGAATCTCGTTTTCCCTCTGCTTTGTCAGTTTCACGTGCGAAATTATAAATTATTTGCCCTCTTTTTGCCGCCTCACCACCCCCTTCCGCCAACGAAAAGGGGCCGGAAGCAACATCCAGTGGGTTTTGGTCCATGACTTTGGCCGCCGTCTGTTTCTGATGGCCTTGTGCGCCGCGTTCCCAACAGAAACAGAACTTCCAACTGCAAATAATTGCAGCTGGCTGCCATGTGTCGCCGCTCACGGCACTGCTGCCTCTACCGTCTGTCGATTCCATCTGCCGTATCGTGGTATCGCCGTATATCAGTGGTCGCAGCCCCGAACTTTACTTCCCATACAGCCTCCAATGGAACTGGGAAATCGCTGCCTGAAAACCCTCACCCAGATGGGCCTTTTTCCTGCCCAAACTTTATGGCTGATAGTAAACTTTTGAGTGTCGCCAGGGCTAATTGATTGGCCTGTTAACTTAAAAATACCTTAAACCTACAATGTGACGCCAAGCAGAGGATACTTCCCAATATGTCAATGGAAGTAATCGATCAATCATTGATAGTCTACCTTAAGCTAACATCTGGGAAACTGAGAAAGATCAATGTGTAAATTTAAACCGATTTCTCCAGTTTGAATTTCCAAAATCATCATGCAATTACCAAATTAATTATTCCAAAATGCAGATTTAAATACATGAACATGGAAATATAAATCAATTTTGATTACTACAAAAAAACTCACTAAGTGATCGAAATCGATCGCCCTTTGCTTGAATTTCAGTTGAGGATCGCTGAAATGCGGGGATGATCCTTAGATCTGGAGAATTCGGATGTGGCCTCTGCCTTCTGTGACTTGTGACTCACTTTGGAAATCACCTGGCCGATCTGGCCTTGGCCCGGCAGCTGTTGCAATTGATGATCAAACGGGGAAAGAACGAACCCGAAACCGGGCTGAGGAGAGAGCGGGATGCGAACAAGTGTGAGGCCAGCTGCCTTTTGGTCTGGTAGTCTTTCGGCTTTTTGGCCTTTTTGCCTGGCCGGGCTTTTGTTGTTATTATTGTTATTGGCAGTGCGGTTGCTATTCCATCTCGACCATCTCCTTTTCTTCTTCTCAGCGCCGCTGTCATTGGCATGACACCTGCATAAACATTTTAACAGCTTGTAGGCTCAGACGCAGTCTGTTTTCGGTTTCTCATTTTTTCTGCTGCTCATTAAACAACGTAGTGCCACCGCAAAAAGTCTAAATCGTCTACGGAGAGTTTGCCCTAATTAGGGGTTGGACTAATTGATACCCAGTTGTATGATCAGGATGACATAAAGGCCTAAGCGCAGGGGATAATGCGATAATCTGAATACATGGTCATTTTGCGGGCAAAGGGTTGATATTAACTATAAAAGCTGCATTTATTATCTTGTTAAATGTGTAATGATGGAACCATAAAGTTGCTGTTCAAAAGTAATAACTTTAATGGGAAATGTATAGCATAAAATAAAACTGACCTTCTGGTCGACTTATTACTTAACTTATTTGATATTTTCCTACTTCACAAGTTAACTAAATAATGTAATTCATAGAAAGTTCAAAATAAATATTTTTACTTAAGTATTCAAAATATATTGTATAATGATTAAATAATCTTTGTTAGTTCGATTTGAGATACAGAGACTCCTCAATTATGTTCCATCAAGAAAGGGTTACCCTAGAACCTACTTAAGCTATTTGCCCTCAAATCGCTAGCACTTGAAATGCCTACGGCCGGAGTAGACAGCTTAATTGTGTCTAGCAAATAGATCCGATATTTCAGTCGGGTCTGCAACCCAATTAGTGTCAGCAATTTAATTTTGTTTTGGCCGCCGGGCAACTCAGCTGGTTGGACCTGGGCTAATCGGCAATAGGTAATCGGTAATCAGCGGGCAATCAGGCATTCAACAAAGTTCTATTAAATAATGCAAGCCCTGGGGGCTGGGGCTGGGCGCTGGAGGCTCTAGTGGCCGGTTGCACATGGTGATTGAATTTAAAATGGACAGCGGCGAAAAAGGGCAAAGTTATTAGCGTAATAGTCGAGGGCAAACCAAACACAAATACACACAACCACACAGAGAGCAAGACTAGGAGCACGAACAGGTGAAAATGCACATGACAAGTGCAGCTGTTGGCATCAAATTAGTCCCCTTTTCGCCACATGTGCCAGCGAAATCCCGCCGCCCAGCCATTGCCAGCCATCCAGGCAATCCATCAAGGGCTCAATCAATCATTAGCAGAGCAAACGCAAAAGCAAACTTCGGGCGGGGAAAACCCAAAACAAACAGAAAAAACTTTGGATTTTCACACCTTTTGCAATTAAGATGCCGCCTAGACGACATTGACTAATGAGACGCCATTTTGTTTGCGGCCTGGCGCAGCTGAGCCAACAGACAACATGGCGACCGGAAATAAGTCAATTTGCTTATTAGACTGACACGAGCCAAGGAATGAAAACAGAATGGAGTGGCACCGGGAACTGGAAACCCAGAAGCCAAAGCCCAAACACAAACATTGCAAACAGAACGAGCGGAATGGATGGTATGGATGGTTCGGATGGCTCAGATGGTTCGTTGGTTTGGATGGTCGAGGGGCAAAAAAAAGCAAGAAAGAAAAGCCAAAAAATCGCGAAAATGTCACACACAGAACAGCAACTAACGGCTCCCCCGGAAAAGCGGAAAGCGGAAAGCGGGGCTGCTGCATACGCTTAATCGAAAAAGTCAAAAACAAAATTCGGCGTCGCTCTCATCCTGTTTTCCTGCTTTCCTACTCCTAGTTCTTCTGCTCGCCTGGCTGCCTGCCTTTTTCCTCGTTTTTCCGCTCCGCTGTTGTGGCTTTTCCACTGGCACTGCGAAATTGTTGGCGCTGCAAGTGGCAGCTTATTAAAAAGACGTGGGCCACAGAATGTTTTGGGGGCAAGCAAAAATGTCATAGGAAAAGCCAGCGCAAAAAAGCGAATTTTTTGTGCAGAAACAATGGAGAAAATAATAAAGCGGGCTCGCCACTGGCAGGGATATATTTATTTAGTGCAGGAAACTATATTGGTGGGATATATAATACTTTGATTCCAGAACACAACCTTCCCTTCCCTCCCTCTGAAGCTACTTTGGTAAAATGTATCCATTGACCTTTCAGTTACCTGAGCTACTTACCTTTAACTCGATGACATTTGTAAAATGTCATAAGAAGCGTATTAATAGAATACACTATATAGTTTTAATGAAACATTTTAAATTGAGCATCTCTCCTCCACTTGCTTGAGTCTCCTAATTTAAGCTGGAAGCTGTTTTCCTTGGGGCAAGGCAATATATTTCTAAGTCTTAACCATCAACCTTAGCCCACCCACAAACAGAGCCCATCCGCAGTGCCAGCTGCACTCCTCCACCCACGTCCTCTTATGTTTTAAACATTTTCCGGGACGGGTCAAAAAAGTGTGTCCACGAGTGCCGCATGTCCAGTACAATCGCAGATTCGCAGACGCCATTCGCTGGCAAGCTACCAAAATATCCAAAGTGCCCCTGCCGGCATTTGAATTGGATTTGCCAGGCGGTACAATATATAGCTGCTCAGCCCTAAATCTCCAGCCTCAGACGGGGCTGACCTTGTCCCGCACACACTGGTACACTCTTACACTCTTACACTCTTACGCTCTTAAACTGGGAGGGGAAAGGGGCGTTGGATAAAAACGACAAACGAAGCAGCTGGCACAGCTGGCGCAATATTTCTTGCCCCAGATGAAACGCAGATGATGCCGCAGGAAAGGCAGCAGCAGCAGGAGCAGCACTCCCTCCTTGTAAGTTGTCAGGACACAGTTGTTTGAGCTGCTGCCTCGAGTGTCTGCAACAGATTTGTGCCAAAAAAAAGAGTGGGATTGCTGCTGCAGGGGCATGTGTTGCTCGTCCGAGAGCAACATTCATCGATTTGTGCATTTGGCTGGCAGTCCAGGGGCTAGAGAAAAGGGGATTTATCCTGCTAATGGCCGGGCAAGAAATGAGCTCCTATTAGACCGCACAGGTGCATCTGCATCGGTCGGGCCATCAAGAGCACCTGCTGTCATTCGCAATTTTTAATTGAAAACGGCAGCGGTGGCTGCTCCTGTCTAGAGCAGGCTTTTGGCCAAGAGACGTCAACGTCGACACGTGCCAACATGTGTTGCCAGATGCCGGTTGCCTCTGTTGCAGTTGCCGTTGTTGTAGCTGCTGGCAGACAACTTGGCAAAAACTTGAATGGCGTCACGTGCTGCAAGGCTGGCAGAATGATTTTCCAATCAGAGGAGAACGAGCTCCGCCAGCCGTGGCAGCTGGAAAATCTTCAATTGCAACAACACACGTTGGAAAATTGCATCCCGGCAGCAACAGCAACAGCAACTTAAGCAATGCAAGGCAACACGAGCGGCACAAGAGCAACATCGGCAGCTGGCGGCCATCAGCTGCTGTCGCTGGCATAATTGGGATGCCTAAATACGTTTTGTGGGCAACATGTGGCAGCCAAATGTTCTCCATTCGTCCCATACCCCGCACATAAAGCAGTTCGTATCGGAAATAAAACAGACCATAAAGCCGATTAAGCGCGACACTCGTTCAACTGTTTTTGCCGTAGTTGCTGCTGCTGTTGATGTTGCTGCTGCTGATGTTGCTGCCCTGTGACAAGCCATTATCTTATTATGCCCCACACAGGCTGCAAATGAAGGGTGAATCAAGGGGCGGCCATTCGTGGCAGGGGGCCTGGCAGGGATGGGGTACGAATATTCGCACGTGCGGCCGAGTAGTGCAAAAATGTTGATGTTGCTGTTGCTGTTGCTGTTGCTGTAGCTGTTGCTGTTGCCCCTCTTCCTGTTGCTCGTAGCCTGTCTGTGTGTGAGATGTGTAATTTAAAATGACGCCAATGCTGCGGCACGTTGCCAACAGACACACAGACACAAACACACACACACTCTGGCACTCTGGCAGACTGAGAGGCGCTTAGCAAATAGTTGACGAGGGTTGCCGCTGAAGTTTTGGTCGCTGAGTCAGCTAATTGTTTAATTTTATTGCAGTTTAATGGGCGGAAATTAAGGGGTAAGCAGATTAAAATGATTTCGTTTTGGTTAATAATCAGCAGGGGTGTTAGTTTTTAACATTTTCTAAACCAATCTAAAGTAAAGGTCTTAGAAAAAGAAGACTAAAACGGTTTAACCCTGAGATAAGCATATTGCCTCTTGGCCTGGGATTTAAACTAACAATTTAAATACATTTAATCTAAGAAATTGTCTAGCAGTTACCTTTTAATTAGAACTTAAAATTCTAATTAGTTGAAAATTTAAAAATCTAAGAAATCGATTTTTAGTCCTTGGGCAAATGCTTAGTAATCGCTTTGGCACATTTCCTCACATCTCCTTCGAAAACCATAATGTTCGAACGGCTGTAATTGTAGTTGCTCGCCATGTAATTAACCCCTGAATGCCAGCGCCCACTTTCGACCCCCAGCTGCTTTAATGCTAATTACCCAGCCCCGAGAACTCTTCGCACAACCCATTTTTTCGCCTCCGCCAGCATACATTTGTAGCTCCATGTGTAATGAAGCAGCTGACGCAGCAAGTTGCAAAAAGTTTTAACTGTGAAACGATGTTGCTGCTGCACAGGTGTCGTCGCCAGTCGCCAGTAATCCCTCCCAGCAGCGGGAAGCGGGCGCCACTTGCGCATAATGACGCACAATGCGGACTCCGCAATACAAAGTGCCCGGGAGTCCTGGAGTCCGGAGTCCCAGGTTCGAGTTTCGAGGTCCGAGGTCCAGTTGGTTGTCATTCGCACACACACATATGTGAGGATGGGGATGGGGATGGGGTTGTGGAAATGGAAAATGGGAAATGGGCAGCTTACCGGGAAAGCACATGCAGCTGTGCTGTGATTTCCCAACCACTCGTCCACCCACCTCATTCTCAACTGGCCTTCAACCCTCGCCACACCCGCCTACCCCTTCAACACCCAATTTTCAACATCCTTTGTTGTTGTTATTTCAGTTGGCGCGCCTTTTCGTTAACCACTCCTCGTCCTTTTTATCCGGTGTGTGTGTGTCTGTGTGTGTGGGTGTTTTTGTTAGCAAAAGGGATAAAAGTATAAAATGCTTTGGTGTCCAGCACATGGCTCGCAATGCCACGCCCCTGCTACCCCCGCCCTCAAAGAATTAAATGAATGTCGCTTAAAATTTGTGCTTTGTTTTTATGATTTTTGCCAGCCTAATTGAAAATTATGCAGTGAAAATGTGTTTTCCCGTCGCCTTTCATTTGTCAAATCGCCGAGCATGGGCTGCTAATAGTTGCTATTGCCCCGGGGGTGAAATGACGGCCATAAGATGCCACCACTCGGGAAGAGTGGAGGGTGAGTGGGTTAGATTCAATTTCTGGAATATAAACAATGAAGTGCAAAGGTTGAAATTCGAAACAAAATAAAATCAATGTTGTCTTAGAACTTGTTCTGAGAGTACTTATGGCACGAAATATAAATTAGATTCTGTACAAAATGATAACAGTTCTGATTTAATCCAATGAGACAACCTGAGAGAAATGTAATTTAAATGCGTAATAATATTCGGTAAGTTTTTAAAATTAGAACATTGATATATCCTAAAAGGTTATCGGTAATTGAGGCTTCTGTCCCACTGTGCTGCCTCCGTTTAAATAATTACTTTTCCTCTTGGCAATTTCGCCGGCAGCCGTCGCAGCCTCAGCCTCAGCCTGCCAGCCTCTTTCTCCTCGGATCCGGCTCCATCCTGCAGCTTCAGCTTCAGCTTCAGCTGGCCCAAGTTTTGTGGGAAAAACTTCTGCGGGCGACATTTTCCATTTTGCTGCGATGGAAGCTTGTGAGGCTCCCGGCTCTTTGAAGTGCTTGCCTTACACAGGATGGCAAATGGAGGAGGCATTTGGGGATTTGGGGGGAGGACGACTGGGGGCGCCTTCTGGCGACGACAGGCGACAGCTGCTTGAGCGACAACGACACGACTGCTCCTGACATTTGATTCATTCGTCATAGCCAGGGCCAAAAGCGGCAGCTGCCGGCTATTAAGTGAGTCAGAGCCACCACTCGGATCCCCTTCCATCCCATCGAGCCATCCATGCCTTGCCGCCCACTTCCCAATTAAGCTCACCTGCCGCCTTTCACAAACACTTGTTGTTTGCCCCACCACCACCAGTTCACGCATGTTTTGTCTCCCTGCTGCGAGTGTTTTTCGCAAACTGTGGAAAGACCTCGCCGGCAAACACTTGTCAAGTGTTCCTCCGGCTGAGGGATAGCACAAGATCGAATCGACTGGCCTGGACTGTCCCAGCACAGTGCGAACGGAAAAGGGGGCTGGGTCGTCGTCATTAGTCGCCCCTCACTTTGGCAAACGGCAGCTGCCGGCGTGTCAAGTGTTTGTTTTTAATAGAATTTCATTTGCGGCATTTGTGTGTAATTTCGCTCTGATGCCAAGCAGCTGCTCCAACTGCTCTGCCATTCCCCCGCCCCTGATTTAGAAAGGGGGCTTTCCGGGGCTCTGGGGGCGCTCGATACCCCCACTCGATTGTAAATATTGGCGGCCGCGACGATTGACTTTAAACAATTGCTCTAAACATTTCTTGCACCTCACTTCGGCGCAAAATGAACGAAACGGCAGCAGAGATTGATCGAAAACATGAATGAAAATGAACAGGTTAGCAGGCCCCTGTTTTTCCGCTTTTCCATCGTGTTTTCCTTGCTTTCCCCCGCTTGTTTACGCAGAGGCATGGCAAGCTGCACAAACTCCCACAGTCCGCAAAGGTATTTACATATTTTAGTGATAAAAATCAACACAAAAATGTTTCCCCTCATGCGAGCTGGACATGAACAAGTTTCAGGTGGGGTGTGGAAGGATGGTGGTGGTGAGTGGGTGGCCGGAACTCCCGGGGAAATGGGTCGCAATGATTGGTAAACAGGAAATGCAGTTGCCGAGTCAATTAGCAAGCCTGCGTTCTCAATCTCCTGGTATCGTCTCGATTTCCCCCTTTCAACAATTCGGGTAGGTTTTCCCAATGGAAATTCATTTAGTTGGCGTCTCGAGCTAAAAGTTCCTCAACTCAATTACGAAACAGGTGTCTACGGCGTGTGGACTGTTGGCAGCTGTCGGTGTTCTTTGGCTTAAAATCGTTTTTACCCTCAGCCATTCGAGAGGAAGAAAAATCCCAAGAATTTTAAGAAATTTGTTCAAATGAATATTAATTAATGAAGAGGAGAAAGTGAAGCAGTGGCATTGAGATCTAGTGATCAAATGGCCGAGGAAAATTGTGACAGAAGCAATTAAAGAGTTCACTAAAACTGAGATGAACTCATAATTGTGTTGATATTTTAAAAATAAATATATTACTTATGATTATTTTAATATATTTAATAACATAATATGGGGAGGTGGTAGGATATTTATCGGCTTATCGTGACCATTACCATTAAGTAAATCCCAACCTAAGCCCAAATCCAGCTTATTACCTTCAAGAAGCACCCAGAATGTCAAGGACCTAACAAGAGGAAATTAAACTCAAGACACTAATAATGCAGCTGGTTTATTATTGAATGGGAAGTGCATATTTAAAATATCTGCACTTAAGCCCCTCAAAAATGAAAGCAATTTGGCCAAATTAAAGCGGCAGCTGTTCTTTCCTCTCGAAGCGAACAAAGGCCCAAGGTCTTCGCCTTTGACTGAGTATTTCAGTGCGGGCGCGCCCAATTTGCATGTCAGACAACCATTTAATCAAATTGAAATCAAATAAGTTGAAAACATAATGTGAGAACTTTGTCACTTGATGTTTTCGTCTATCGCCACTCTGGGAACCTGTGCAGTCTGCCGGGGAAATTAGCTGGGCGTGGGTGGATGGCCCACCTCCGGCCCCCTATCTTTTCCATTTCCCCCCTGCTCAGCGGTAGCTAACCGATTTCCTTGCCTGTTTCCCGACTATTTCCAGATGGCGCTCGACGGCAAGGCGATAATTAAGGAGGAGATTACCGACAAGGACGCTTACGACGCAGCGGCAGCGGCGGCGGCGGCGGTGGCAGCTGGAGCAGCTCTGGCGGTGGCCACGGCAGCAGCTGTCCAAGTGCCGCCCGCGTCATCCTCGGCGGGATCAGCGTCAGCGGCAGCAGCGGTGGCCACCAACAGCACAACATCGGCGGCAGCCACGGCGGCAGCAATTAGTCGTCGGCTTAAAGGTGAGTGGAGCTCATTTCAAGGCTTTTGCACTGGGAGAAATTGAGGGGGCTCGGAAGTTATAGCCATGGCTTAGGGGAATCTATTTGACAAGCATTAGGTACACGGAAGTATTTCAAGTTCGCATCTTAACGGAGATTAATTGGCTATTACGAAGATAACATTAAATTAAACAAAATGTGCTTAAATAAATATAATCATAGGTTCGACGTCGATTCTAATTGAAAGTAATTAAATATTCATTTATGTTTGTCACGATTATGGCAGGGATTATAATTCATCCAAAAATAGGAACTTAATTAATAATTGTAGAGCTAAGAGGTGGATTATTATCAGTTTTATCATCACCAAACAACTTTTTGTTTAAATTAATTTAAAATTTAAGATTAAAAATATATATCGGTGTATCAGTTTGGAGCTGTGTACTTGGTGGTGTGAAACTCAGCAGCTGTACGTGTTCCGCCACCCCTTTAAAATGTTTGTATCCACAGGAATCTGGAGCTAGTCCCAGCCCAAGCTCTACTTCGGAACTCCACATCAGAGCATTGGGAATTCGTTACTTTTTAAATGGTTCTCCGAGCTGAGACCACAGGCCGCAGTCGGAAACTTCCCGAATTTACGAATGAAAAAGGCCAAAAGCATTTCGCTAGTTTTCCCCGCACCCCAAAAACTCCACCAAAAAAGCGAGGAAAAAAGCAGAAACCGCTGCTGGCATTGTTCCCAGCATCATGGGCCATTATGGGGCAGCAGGGGGGGCATCAGGAGCCCGCACACAGACGAGCATTTTGTTGCCTGCCTTTGGGCGCACCGATGTCAGGGGTGTGGCAAGCGAGGGGATCATTGCGGCTTTGATTGCTGGGATCTGTGCTACCTGCGCCAGTTCCCAGGCAAATGATGTGTGGCCCAGCATTTAAGTCGCTTGAATTTCTTTCCTTTCACCAGCAATTAGCATTTACCGGGCATGCATACATAGCTTTGTCGAAATTGCCGCCCATTTCCGCCCGAGTCCCCTCTCCGCCCGATGATAATCAGAAGCAGTGCATGATGAATATTTGCCAAAATGATTGTTTTCCCAAATGACTATGCCAGCAACAGCAATGACAGCACCAGCAGCAGCAGCAGCAGCAGCAACAACAAACTAAACTTGCCAACGTTTCGTTTTGTGCGCTCGACTGCAATCTATGGGACGCAGCTGTGCAAATTCTGTTGCCCACATAGACACACAGCACACACACAAACACACACACACACAGATTGGCACACAGAGGAGACACACACACAAAGGCACAGGCAGATGCATAGATGGGACCACGCTGCGTATACGTAACCTTAAATCGATGCCAGTGGCTCCAGCGGAGGGAGCTCATGATGCAGGCAAATGTTGGGCCAGCAGTTGGAGCCTCCAGTCCTCCCACCAAACATTATGTTTTAGAAAATATGTGAATTGTCAACACAGAATTTTCGTAAATAGTTTTTCGGTTTTGCGTGGGGTTTCTTGGTAGCAGCTGCTGCCGGCCAGCAACTTTGGGTCAGCAGTTGAGGTTTTCCCACAACAGGACCAAACCAAAACAAACCGAAACTTTTAAGCCCGGTCAAGTGCAATATTTTACAATTGTAGACCGGCCGGGAAAAAGGGCAAAGGGATGTGGCAATGGGAATGCTGGCCAATTAAGCCAGGAAAGAGAGGACTGAAACTGGGGGGCGGCATGTGATCCATCATTGTCTATGTTTGGCGTTTGATAAGAGCCGCCGACTCGGTTGACTGATGCCTCCGACTGCAAGTCCGACCATCCATGTGTCCTCCATTCTGGCTGGCAGTGGGTGTGGGTGTGGGTGGTCGTGTGGCCCTTCGATTGGCATGGCGGTGGCGTGCCTGAATGGCTGTGAAAACACAGCCAGTTGCAGCTGTATCCACAATCATTATCACAAAAGCAAACTGTGCAGCAGCCGCACGGCAGCAACATCAGCAGCAGCAACAGTAGCAACAGCAACAGCAGCAGCAACAGCAGCAGCGGCAACATCAACTGACTGCCATTCCCATCGTCGTTGTCGTCATCATCGTCCTCATCATCATGGTCATCAGCAACATTCGCCACCCACAGTGTCTGTCAGCCACCCATCTGTCCACCCAACCCCCCACCTTCCCAGCAACCCACACCCATAAACAATTTCCATTAGCTTGTGCAAACAAAGTTTGTGTGTGTTTGGTCGTCCCAGGCGACAAATGTGTCCCAAGCCTTTTCATTTTACTTCATTGAAGAATTTCGTGGCAGACCACAAAATCTTTGTCCTTCAAATCCTTGCTACTGTTTGGGCTTTGCTTTTGGTTCGAAGGCAAACGAAGTTTATATTCAAAAAAGGTTATTCTTGAAAAAATCTACTCAAAAAAATTGTGAATTTATTTCATATTCTTTATTAATTAATAATTACAATGACTAAGCCAAACAATATAAAAGATATTTATATAAATTACAAAAATGGAAGCCCCGTTCCTGGTACTAAAACCAATCCTTCCACATTTCGTCGCCTGGCAAAGAGTTTCCCAGCAGCTTCTCCGTCCAGCTGCGCACTGCGGATTTGCGTTAAGCTTTTCATTTTTGAGCTACAGCATCGCTCCGGCTGTGCCAGGATAGGATCATGGATGCGATGGGACAGCACGTACCGCAATGTGTTGCTCCCCGAGCCACCCTTCGTCATCGGAAGTACAGCCCACCCACCCGTTCCCCCGCCCTCTTCCCCAGCTCGGCCATCCTTGCAATTAGTGCGTTATGTGGTGCTTGATTTGCTTGCCTGACTGGGCTCAAACCACACAGCACCACACTTTGGTAGGGCCAAAAATGTTTGCTAATTTATTTCCCATGTTCAAACAAATTTGTTAATGCCGGCAGTTGGTCGGGCTGTAGTGTCTAGTATGTAGAATGCAGAATGCAGTGTGTAGTTGCCCAGTTGGCCAGATCTGTGGGACAAGTGCTGTAGCTTGTTGTGGTTAGCTGGCGTATATATTTCCGTTCCCTCGGCTTCTGCTAATGCATTTGTAATGCGCCTGGGCTGCACATCCTGTCCTGGTCTCGAACTTGGACTTGGACTTGTTTCCCTTGTTCCAGGATGAACATGCAACTAACCACTTGCCCCTCTTTCTCTCTCCCTAACAGCCAGCAGCAGCAGCAGTGGCGGCGACAAGAGCTCCTCCTCTTCATCGAGCAGCAAGGACAGCAGCCACAGCAGCAGGAGCGAACGGGACAGGGAGAGGGAAAGGGACCGCCTGTGCCGCACTCCGCCGGATTCTCCGCCGGACAGCTCGCGCAGCCTGGCCCCCCGCTCGCCACACTCCCCCCTTCAGTTGCACCAGCGGCCGCAGCGCAACGCCAGCGTCTCTCCAGTGGTCAATGGCTCCTCTGGCGTTGGATCCTCCGGCACTTCACCGACGCCCACGCCGGGCAGTCAGCATGCCGCCTCCTTGGCCGCAGCCGCTGCCGCCGCAGCAGCAGCACATGTCGAGCAGGCGCGGCTAGTTTCCAAGATGCGCAAGTTCCTGGGCGCCCTGGTTCAGTTCTCACAGGAACTGGGACAACCGGAAGTAAGTGAGCGGGTTCGCGCCCTGGTGCTTTCGCTCTGCTGTGGCAACATTTCCGTGGAGGAGTTCCGGCTAGCCCTGCAGGAGGCCATCAATCTCCCACTGCGGCCGTATGTCGTTCCGTTGCTGAAGAATAGCATTGCGCTGGTCCAGCGGGAGGTTTTGGCCCTGGCCAGAGCCACCAACCAGTCCGCCCTGCAGTATGTTACCAACAACGAGCAGGCGGTGATGGAGTTTGCGCCTCACGGAGTAGCCAGTACCGAGTTCGGCGATATATTCATCCAGCTGGAGGCGCCCACATCGAACGGGAGCAGTGCGGTCTTCAAGCGTCGCTCCTCGGACTCAATGATGGAGCACGGCGGTCACAATGGCCTGCAAGAGTGGAGCGAGTACATGGCCAGTGGGGGAGCGGGCTATCCGCCGCCTCCCAGCAAGCGCCTGAACCTGCACCCTGCACACTCGGTAGTAGCCTATGGGGATTATGGTGTTTCCTCTGCGGAGGGACTCCCTTCGGCAGCCGCCTTCATGCAGCGGGACGAACGCGATCTGCGGATGACCGAGGCACAGGCCAGACACGCTGCTCCTCCCCAGAGAACTGGAAATCCCAACCCGAACCCCAACCCCAACCCCACTTCAGCCGCTCCTGGAGCTCCGGGAGCGGGTGGCGAGGAGGAGTGGAAGAACATCCACACCATGCTCAACTGCATCTCCGCGATGGTGGACAAGACGAAGCGGGCCATCACTATTCTCCAGCAGCGTGGCATAGAGCCACAGCATCCCAACAGTGGTCAAGAGGTCACGCCTGCTGCCATGGCGGAACTGCGTCGTCAGACGGAGGAAAAGGTCGCCGAGTTCAAGCGGAATGCCGAGGATGCCGTCACACAGGTGAGTGGTTATTCTACTGTACTCCCTTTTACCTTTTTTTATTGACCTTTTACTAAAATATTTAAAACACTTTTTCGGACTTTTAATATATTTAATCTTTATTCCTATTTACAGGTGAAACGCCAGGCCGTCATCGAAATCCAGAGGGCAGTGGTGGCTGCCGAGACTCGAGCGGCGGAGATCATGACCCAGGAACGCCTGCGCATGGAGAAGTTCTTCATGGAGATGAGTCGGCATTCCAGCGGAGAACGTGATCTGGACAACAAGTCGCCGTCAATGGCCACTGCTCAGAATGTAAGAAGCCAATAATATATTTTATTTTGTATTCCAAGTTATTTAATTTCTAAATTACTTTTAGGGCAGCAATCTGCAGCAGCAGTGCTGGAACTGCGGCCGCAAGGCCACGGAAACCTGCTCCGGATGCAACATGGCACGCTATTGCAGCGCCTCGTGTCAGTACAGGGATTGGGATAGCCACCATCAGGTAGGGTTACTAAAGAACTTTAAATTTGAGACATCAAAATAACACATAAATTTAACTATTAAACTGAATCCGCGTTTTTACACCGCAGACAATCAGTTTTAGTTCTGACACTTATTTTAGTAATGTTTCTCGGGTTTTAATTTCAGGTGTGTGGCAATTCACGGGCCAGTGAGCTGAGCGCAAAGCACCTTCACTCCGCCAGCAGTCTGCGCAGTGCGATGGCCACCCGATCACCCCCCACACCCAACTCAGCGGCTCATCTGCAGGCGGCGGCAGTTGCTGCGGCTGCTGCTGCAGGCGCCCGTGAAGCGGTCAGTGCTCCAGGTCCAGGTCCTGGATCGGGAGTAGCTGGCGGTGGAGGCGCGGGAAGCGGCGGCCCCTCAGTTGGAGGAGGAGGCGGCGGGGGAGGTGGCGGAGGAGCCTCGGCAGCCGCAGTCGCTGCAGCCACTCCAGGCTCTTTGGTGGCCAATGGGTTGGGCTCCAAATGACGCATTCGCATGATGAAACCCAAGAAGAAGTACTTGTGCTAGTCAAATTAAAGGGGGTGAACCGCGGAAACCATATTCACACTTACACTTATGCAGCTAATATAGAGTTATCCAAAAACCAAAAACGAGAAGCAGCATCGTCACCTAAAGACACAAAACTAGATGATGCTTACTCCAAAAACGCATAAATAGATACAGATTGATGTGCATTTTCACTAGAGTTTATACATTTCGATGTTTCCAGCAGAAAACCATTAACGAACGGGTTGAAGGGTATAATTAGAGGGGTTAAATTCCTTAGAAGAATCCAAACTTAATTACTCATAAAATACACTTTAGGGAGTTTGTCCTACCATTCTCAACCTGTGACTTAATAAATGTACGGAAATTCCATTTTACCATCAGCACTTTCACAGATAAAAACAGATAAATATTATTAACACTATGTGCACATTAATAAAGATTACATAAGCAAGTAAATTCAGTAAAGATGAAGCAGTAAAATTCTGTAAGTAAGCAACCCAAAGCGAGTAAAAACAAAAACTGAACATAGTAGATTTTATTAATACAATACAGTATATACTACTACGGATATGATTATGATTATGATTATGATTACGATTATGGCTAATTTATTGATGAGTTTAATTTATTGATTAGTATTTATTGTACTCCCTAAACTAAAACGTAAATGTACTTTTATCATAAACAAATACCAAGTAAATGTTAAACCTACAAACCAAGGCTTCAAGGCTACGACAAAGAAAACCCAAGAAATAAAGTGTTTTAAACCAAACGAAGAGCGTGGCGATTCCTAAATACGAATTAGAAAATAACATTTCGATTGGCAGCCTAAAAGAAGGCCATGAAAAGCGCATTAGTGTGGGTGTGCGCCGTAGTGTGTGCTACAAAACCACAAACTACTGTGATGAAATTTCAATTATCGTCACTCAGCTGTGTGCTCCGTGTCGGTGTGAGTATCTGTGCGCGCCAGGGTGAGTATCTGAGTATCTGCCCGTGTCTGTGTGTGCATGTATGGCACACCTGCTGCTGTCGCATTGCAAGCGAGCAAGTAAAAGCTCGTTAGTCCACCGCCCTAGCCCCCTTTGCCTCCCCCAAGGACACCCACAACATTTGTTGCACACGCACACATATGGCCTGCGGCTACCCACCCACTCACACACTCACACAGTGAGACAGACGGCAGCTTGCCTTAACTTTGCCTTTGTCTAGATGCTGTGCGCTTTTTTGCAACCCTTCAGCCAACAACAATGATGATGATGGTGGCATTTGCTACCTGAGTGATTTCCTAAAGCACAACTACATCCCCCTCCCTCCTATCCTCGCCCATATCCACATCAACTTCCGGTTGCGAGTGAGATTCACATGCACATTCAAATGGCTGCACGTCCAGCTTGCATGTGCTACCATTTTCCTCTCCCATCCCATCCGCCCGGGGATGCCCACCTTCCTCCTCGACCACTCGATTACCCCTTTGTGCCGGCTAGCCTTTCGTTAGCTTCTATTTAACATGCAGTTATCGTTTGTTATCGCCAGCAGCCACAAGCCAAACTCCCACAGAAAGCAGCTTGTCAACAGGGAAACAATGTGAAGAAGGATGACAGTCCTGGGCGAAGCTCGGATGCCCTGCAAATCCTTTAATTATATTTATTCCAGTAAGGCTGAATCTGCAGATTCAGCGTCTGGATGGTAAGCGATACGATTTTATTGTCAAAGAATTTCGGAGAAAGGCCTAGGGATTACGTGCTTTATAAAACTCCGAACCGACTGATAGTGGGTGATAGCTCTTAGGGCTATCCTTTCTCGGTACTTACCCTTTCTGTGATCTAGACTGATATTATATATCAAAATATACATAGAAACGTTAGAAACCAATTTTACAGATAAATTAAGAAGTGTTTCCAAATATTGGTTCCTAAGTCTTTTGTAACTCAAATGAAGTTCCTCACCCATTCCACCTTGTATTGTTTCCCAGCTCCAATCGATGCCAATGCATTAACATTAAAACTTGGGCGCTGAAATTTTAATTAAAATGTGACAGCCAACTAGCGCACAATGAGCCCGCTCGCCGGATATCTTGGCCTGGTCCTCTTGTGTGTGTGCGTCTGGCATAAAAATATTCAGCATAAGTGGCGGCCACCCAGCGATGCTCGACATTACAGAGCTGCCGAGCTGCCTAGCTGCTGAGCTGCAGAGCTGCCGAGCTGGCAGCAATTGTGCCATTTCAATCGACATCTGTTACTGATTTCAAAGAAACTTTTGTTGACAACACAAACAAATGCCAAACACAGGGAGCGAGGGGATGCAAGGATGCCGTCGCCCGGGGGTTTAAGGTACAAACCGTTTGACGCTTGCCTGGGCACGACTTCGGCACCCCCATTCCCGGCCCCATCTCCAGCCCACTGCCTCCTCGGGCCACCCCCTTTTGGCCCTGAACCAGACCCAGAACTCACGTGTGGCCCAAAGTGCCGCACAGCTGACGTTAACGTTATCAGCAAGCGGCTGTGCCGGTGAATTTGTGTGGGTCTGTTTTTATACCTGGTAAGCGTAGAATTTGCGGGTATGCCAAGTGCTGTGGGCTGTTTAAAACAAAAAGAAGGTAAGGGCTTACAAGTATTTTTAATCACTATAACTATCTATTTAACTTTAATTATATATATATAATGTTACCTATAATTAAATAATTTCCCAGAAAGTGGTTGCAAAACCTTCAATAGTGCAGAGAAATAGATATATTTCAGTCGAATCCCTCGACTTCTGTATTCTCTATCTGTGTGCGTGCTTGCCTGCTTCTGGGGCTCTTCTCTGTGTGTGTGTGAGTGTGTTTTTGTTTTCGCCGGCTACAAACAAAGTTGACTGAGGCTGCCAGTTTGCGTGTCTGCGAGCCTGCATTTGAAGGCTGTGCAGCAAAGGCATCTGACATGAAGGCATGAAGGAAGCTCTGGTGGGAGCGAGAGGGGAAGTGTGCGAGCGGGAGAGGGAATGTATGGCATGGCTGTATATGTGTGTGTGCGAGTGTGTTTTCGGCGGCGCCATTGTCGATAATAACGATGGACTGAGCCCCGGGTCGCAGGCGCTTTTGTGCGCGTAACATGTGTCAATTACAGGCGCCCACACCCAAGCGCACACATACTTCCACTCACAGAGAACAGCAGGAACAGCCGGCAGAGCCAGCACACACACACACACATGCATATGCGCTCACTTAGTTTTGCTCTCACACCGTCGATAACTCAAAAAGCTGCCAAAAAGTATGCGCACATTTTTTATATGCGCCGCCCGAAAGTATGCACATATTTTTTATATTTGTGCTGCCGGCATTTGACAGCTAAGCGACGCTGCCCCTATGTTAATTTATTTCCACGCAGCATTTTGTTTTTGCCGGTGTGAGAAAGGGAGGGGGTGAGCATTTGGGTGGGGTAGAATTACATTTCGGCATTGTTTTTGTTGGCAAATAAAAATGCTTAATTAAAAAATTTCGAATCACTGTAACAGGTGGAAAGGCCAAGTGCTAAGTAGGATGGCAAAACTTGACTTTGCGAAGGGATTTGGAGTGTCGGGAATTTAAAATTGCTGTTTAGACACTTTTCAAATTGAGAAGTAATTTCTTGTTACATTTATTTGTTATATAAATTAATAATAATATATTAATTACAGACTCGCTTTCACCTAATTTTCCCTTTAAATATAAAACTTCCCCTGAACCCTAGTAGGTAATGTGCTCACATTCAGAACTTAGCTTTACTCCATACATATTTCTAATGTTCCTTCGTTAAAAAGTGGAAGTATTATTTATTATCTTCATTTTAAATATTTTTCGCTCGCTCACAGAGTTCTGTAAAGTCAACAGCAATAAAGATCGACGAACATCGTTTTCTGCAAAGAGTTTCGGAGGCTGCTTGGACTCTCATCGCTCTCTCCCATCAGTCTCTCTCCCCGAAGAGTACCGTATAATTATATATATTTTCTCTCGTGCTTGGCTGTGGGTATAAAAACCAGCTCACGATCGCAGCGCCAGTTACTTCAGCGGTCCGACGTCGCGAGTACAGATCATTCGTGCTAAATACGAGTATATATCTATGTTTTCTTGTTTTCCGTGCGAATAACCGTTTGAGATCGTGCTGATAAAAAGTATGTCACTTGGGGGCGCTGCACTGACACTGAAAAGTGAATTACATTGATCATGGCAGGGGAGCAAAATCAGGCAATAGCCATGTAAATCGTTAGTAAATCCCATGGCCAGTCGACCGGAGCCGGTGCCAAGAACTGCGTGTGCGCAGAAGCGATTATAAAACCTCTGTGCCCGGCATACGAAATAAGTCAAGGTCCCCAGCATAGACGCCAGAACATAACTCATACATGGGTTGGCAGCCCGACTTATAGAGATAGTGCCCGTTCCCAAGTTGCCATAATCGCCAGAGGCGAAGCAATGAACTTTGAAGCCGGCGCGTCACTTGATAGCTTCCTTAACCCTTGTGGGTGCGAGTACATGTAGTGCAAGTGAGCAGTAGTTACCCCTTGCAATAATTATAGGTGCATTGTGAACAAGTGTTAAAGCCACATGTCCATTGTTTCGCACCTTTCCCGATAAGCCGGCACAACAAAAACCTCAGACTCTGCGATATCAGCTGTTCCTCGCAACAGGGCAGGTTCAATGGCTAGCAGAGTTTTTATGGCCAGATAAACCTCTAGGGGCCCCACTCAGACGGACGCCGAATCTTGGCAATCGGAGAGATTAATGCCAAGTGCTCACCTACTGATCCAAAAAATTTCCATGCCAATTAGTAATTAATGGGTTAAGCCTGAGCCCTCCACTTAGGATCTCTATAAAAAAGGCATTAGCATAGGTCGTAACATAGGTGGCCCTTGAATGGAATAATTACCGTGTAAGGGCGTAATAAACACTTATAAAGGGGAAAGTAATTGTTACCCTTTCTTAAGTACTAGTAAACGGCTTACTGAGCTTGAAATGAGTATTTTTATTTCCTAGCACTTAACCTTACAAAATGTCTCTTGCAACTTTATGGGCTTTGTTGTTTTTGAAAAGGCCTTTAACTTACAACACCAACAAACTTGCTTTTAGCTAAATAATTTATCAGTTTATAGGCCGACAAAATGAAATATCTACTCTTGAATAGTTTTCATTCAGGCGAAGGAAGGTGCATTGTTATGTTTCAAAGTCCAACAATGAGCAGCGACAGCTGGTTTTCCATTCCAGTTATTAAAATGAAATTCCCTCGCTCAATTGTCACTGCTCTACTGGGTTTTGAGTAGATGTTTTCAGTTCATAACTGGGATTTTCGTTGACACGCCTAAGCACCCGTCACTCCCCCACAGCCCCCTTCAAGGCACACCTATTGCTCATGGGCTCTGATAAGAACTTGCGACCCACAAACTATATAGTAAATCGGTTTAGTCCGCTTATCACTCAGTCGCTCGCAGTCGGTTGCCCTAGGTACATGTGGGAGTGGGACTGGAAGGGTTGCACCTGCTAATTGCTCAATTACACCTTGCCGTAGCTGTCATAATACTCGTATACATTCGTTCGTTTGAGTAACTAATTCCATCATGTTTGCTTTTGCTGTCTGCCCCTCGAAGTGAGCGAGAACGAGGAGCGAGGCGACCTGGATGACCAGGAGCAGGCTGGCGGCAAGAAAATGGAGATCCTGCTGGAGCTGAATCTCAAGCAGAAGCTGGCCACCCGAATGGGAACTGTTCTGTTGGCCACTCTGATCTTTGCCGGCTTTTGCTGGGACAACGCGGTGGCCAGTCTTACTCTCGGAGCAGTTGTGGCCCTCCTGCTGAGGAATCCCACCTTCGTCTTTGGTTTGGTTATGACTGCCGCAAGAGATACAAAGTGGGTATATGTGGGAATCCACAAAGAACCTTGCATTCTAACTCGGCTTCCCTTTTCAGGGCCTTACAGCGATTCATAGCCCTCAATCTCTACCTGCTGAGTAAGGATCGCGGGGGATTCACCGTGGCCCGATGTTTTCAGGAGCAGGCCAGATCTCGTCCCAAGAAAACATGTTTTGTGATGGACGATCGCCGGCTAAGCTTTGCTGAGGCTTTGGAGTTCAGCCAAAAGATCGCCGGCTACTTTAAGGATCTTGGTCTGCAGAAAGGAGATTGTGTGGCCCTGCTGATGGAAACCCGTCTGGAGTATCCCTGCATCTGGCTGGGCCTCTCTCAACTAGGAGTGATCACTGCCCTAATAAACTCTAATCTGCGAGGAGAGTCGCTCCTCCACTGCATAAAGGTGGCCAATGCCAAGGCCATAATTGTGGGCAGTGAACTTCTAGAAGAGCTGAAATCACTTAAGGAGAAGGAGCAACTGAAGGATGTGCCCATCTATCAATACACAGATGACAAGATGCGGGAAGTTCCAGGCCACGGTCTTCTGCCAGGGGCTGTAGATTTGGACAGTGCTCTGAAGACCCAGGAAAGACTGCAGTTACCTTCTAAGGCGTGCGCCGAAGAATCACGCTCAAAGCTGCTCTACGTTTACACATCCGGAACTACTGGGCTACCAAAGGCTGCTGTAATCACCAACCTACGATACCTGTTCATGTCCGCTGGATCCTACTACATGCTCAAGATGTCTAGCGAGGATGTCGTCTATAATCCCCTACCACTATATCACACCGCTGGCGGGATCGTGGGAGTGGGCAATGCCATACTCAATGGATCCACTGTGGTCTTGCGCAAGAAGTTCTCGGCCAGGAACTTCTGGTTGGATTGCGATCGCCACAACTGCACTGTGGCCCAATATATTGGGGAGCTGTGCCGCTACCTCCTGGCCACGCCCTACGCGCCCGATCAGCAGAAACACAACCTCCGTTTGATGTACGGCAATGGGTTGAGACCGCAGATCTGGTCGCAGTTCGTTCGCCGGTTTGGCATTCCGCATATAGGAGAGATCTACGGCGCCACCGAGGGGAACTCCAATCTGATTAACATCACAAATCGAGTGGGAGCCATTGGATTCGTGCCAGTCTATGGATCCAGGATCTATCCTGTGCAAGTCCTTCGTTGCAATGAGCAAACGGGTGAACTGCTCAAGGACTCGCAGGGTCACTGCATCAGGTGTCAGCCCGGACAGCCGGGACTCCTCGTGGGCAAGGTCGATGCCCGGCGAGCGGTGAGTGCCTTTCACGGATACGCCGACAAGGGAGCCTCGGAGCAGAAACTCCTCCGGAATGTCTTCACAACTGGCGACGTTTTCTTTAACTCGGGGGACATGGTGGTGCGCGACATTCTCGGTTACTTCTACTTTAAGGATCGCACTGGCGACACCTTCCGCTGGCGAGGCGAAAACGTGGCCACCCAGGAGGTGGAAGCCATCATCACAAACTGCGTTGGACTGGAGGATTGCGTGGTTTACGGCGTGCAGGTGAGTCGTTACATAACGATAAATATTCATTCGTACAACTAAACAATATTTAATCTCTTTTTGTTGCTTTTATTTAAGTAACAAAGAAAATCATAAAAACAAAGATTAATTTTTTTACAATGCCTACTTGAGAAAGAAGGAAATCTTTTCCTGATTGCTATTAGATTCCATTTACCGTATACATATATAAATCAAAAATATTTCCCAAGACCTTGGCAGTAGTTCTTACTAATGTGTAGCTGAGGGAACTACCCATGTCGCCATGACTCACCTGTTTAAGTTTTGGCAGATAACACACCACCTGAAACATGCACATAAACCCTGATTCCCACTATCGCCGTGCTTATCTTTTCAGATCCCCCATGTGGAGGGCAAGGCGGGAATGGCGGCGATTGTGGATCCCGATCGCAAGGTAGACATGGATTACCTATCCATAGTTCTGAGGGGCAGTCTGCCGGCCTATGCCCGGCCCCTGTTCATCCGTCTTCTGGACGAGATTCCGCGCACTGCCACCTTCAAGCTGAAGAAACGAGAGTTGGCCCAAGAGGGTTACGACATCAGCACGCTGAAGGATCCCATTTACTACCTGAATCGGGACGGGATCTACAGACCTCTCAGCCAGGAGCAGTACGAGTCCTTGCGCTCGGGAAAGGCGGGACTCTGATGATGCATGCCCCGTAATATTACGCCAGCCACTCCTCCGTGTATATAGCTAAACGTTTGTCTGTCCCAATGTATTTTTAACGCTTAAACAACGACTGATACCAAAATACCAAAGTGCCAGTGATGAAGTTGCCCGCTGCTCGCCCGAAAAGCCGGGCGCGTTTCTTGGCCATAAAATGGCAGCTTAACCGATAATGGGAGCCAATACGTTTTACGGCCAGAAGATGCTGCTACCGCCACAAGATATATCGAAAGTGTTAAATCCCCAAGATTAAGTTCTCGCTCATTGGCAGCTGCTGCTGTTGCTGCAGTCGCTGTAGCTGTTGCTGTTGCTGCTACTTTTGCAGTTGCTGCTGTTGCAACATTAACGCCATTTCCGCTCGCTAGCGGCAGCTGCGACTTCGTTGGCCGTCGCCTAAGATAAACGATGTGCAAAATCCATACAAAACAAAGGCAAGAACAACAAGGCAAGGTCTTGCAACCGCAACAGCGCAACATCGCTGCTCGCAACATCGCAGTATCGCAGCATCGTCGACGGCCACCAATATCGATGTCGATGGCGAAAAAGTTGTGGCAGGCAATCATAAAAAACGAAGAAATGGCAAACAAAGCTGGGCGCCATTTGGCAGGACGGGGAAATGGCGGTGGTGTTGCTCTCGGGACGCCAAAGGTTCTTCGATGGCTAAAAGTTGGCGCAGGTAAAAGGAAGAGTGCTTTTTCGATACCCCAAGATCTTAATTGGAATTCGATTCTTGTTTTTCTGGAGGATTCCATGGCGTTTAACAAGTAAAGGCTGTTTCTCCTTAAGATATCTTATGGATTAAGAAGTATCTTCATCGATATTCGAATATATTCTTGAATGAAATCTATTTTTTCCCAGAGATCCGAGGATGTTCAGTACACAATGTAAAAGGCGTATGCCGAAAATGCACATAAAGTTGCAGCTGCAGCAGCTGCCAAACCCACCCCTTCCCCTCCCTGGCCAAACCCCCTTCTCCTCTTTCGCGACGCCATCGTCGATGTCATAAACAAAATGGCAGTTGTGGGTGCAGAAGTGCATGAATACGTTCGCATAGCTAATAACAATAAAAGCAACAACAAAAACAGCCATTGCAGCTGACACCAACAGGCAGCACTGCTGCTGCTGCTGCCGTTGTTGTTGTTGCTGCTGATGTTGCTGTTGTTGTAATTGTAACTTCGCGTGCGCCTGGCCTGCGTAAGTGGGAAAATTAAAAATTTCTCAATAATTTTTCGAAATGTTCGACAAGAACGTCGGGCGCTGCCATTGTTTCCTGTTCGTCCTGCTCCTTTTTGGGCTCATTTAGAAAGCTTTTGGGTGGACAGAAAGGCGGTGGGTGGGCATTGGGTGGCATTCGGTGGCATTGGGTGGCTAAGGCCGAAGCTCGGCGACGGCGCCACAGCTGCCATTGGAATTCCAAAGCTATTAAAACGCTGCCAGTGGAGCTACGACCAAACGGGCACCAGTGTTTCCCTTCCGCTGCCATCTCTGTTGTTGCCCTTCGCCCGATTTACCCTTGCCGAGAATGGGGTATTGCAAATTGATGGCTCGACCTAATCTCGGATTTGGCTACTGTTTTTATGGGCTATCTTCGGGCGGAGAAAGTTCACGCGGTAAATGATAGGCAGTGTTTTATATAGCCTACTTCTAGGCTGAAGCAAAAAACTATTCAATGTTTCGAAAATAAGTTTCAAGAGTTTATGTGATATATTTTGATATATTTATATATATATATCATAATTTCAGATATGATCTGATCTGATAATCTGATATTAACCACTTTAAACTTGCCACTTTTCGTGGTAACTTCACTATAACTATCATAAAAAGGAATATCAATATTTTACCATAACATAGAGAATATGAATATTCGATGCAGCCTCGGATCTTTTTCGTCCAGGCCCTGCCACTTGGTGTGGCAGCTATTGTTGCTGCCGCTGCTGGCTGAATTGGTTTGGATCGCTCCGCTTTTGCTTGTATGCATTTGGGCTTAAAGGTTTTGCTTGCTTTTGTTTTTATGTTTCATACTGCCACTGCCACTGCCTCCGCCCTGCCACCCACTGCCACTTGCCCCCACTTTTTGGTCCTTGGCGAGCTTTGTCAGTTCGTGCTAATTACATTGCACCTGTGCATGACGTTTGATGTTGGCCTGTCGAGGTTCGACTGTCGCTGGTGTTTGTTGTTGGTCGGAGAGAGCGAGTGAGTGTGTGTGTGTGAGCTTAGTTTGTTTGGTTTTGGCCTTTTTGGGGCGCTGAGCTGCAGCAGCAGCAGCAGTAGCAGAAGCAGCAGAAGGCAGCAAAAATTAATTAAAAGCCAACGTGCGGCGGCAATGCAATTAAATTCGATTTGGTCGGGCATTCGACTGCTGGAGACTCAAACTGGAAGCTCGAACTCAGCTGGACGGCTGTTGTTGACATCATTTAATACAACAATACGGCAAAATTATATTCCACATACATACTGTGAGCGAGTGTACGTATGTATGTGCTTACAGGACCGTCAAAAGTTCACATACAATGCAACACACAACATATGTACACGACCCTTTTGTTTTGTTTGTTTTTTGTTTGTTTTTATTGGGAATTTTGCCTGGTTTCGGCTGTTGGCTGATCTGCCTATTTGGTTTATGTTCTCCCCTCCTGGCCACCTTTTCTTCCGGTGTATGTGCCACTCTTTCTATGTGGGTGTGTGCGTGCTTGTGTGAGCCCGTTGATTCGTGGCACCTTTTGGATTTGACAGTTTTGTAATTAACTGCAGTCGGCTGCCTCAGAGTGCTGCATACTTTCGGGCGCCTCAATCCGCATTGGCATTTTGTAACGCAATTACTTTTGCCGGCTTTTCAAACTTTTTCCTATTCATTTCAACTCGATTTCGGTAGCTGAAAGTTGGCCCCGAATCAAGTTGATAGGGAATACGTGACAGCTTGCACCAGTGGACCACGGCACAACGGGACCACGGCACTACGGGACCACAGGACACACGTGTGTGAGCTGCTTTCTCCGGGTTTTAGCCATTCCCGATACCATTTCACTTTGAAGGCTCACAGCTGGCTCACACTGCCCCAATCCGCTGCTGTTGTTTTTTATGGGCCGACCGCCTTTATGCGCCCGCATATTAAACAATTATTGCCAAATGGCAAGCGACAGCTGCGTTGTGTCGCCGATGTCGTTAGTTGGTGGGCATTGGTGGCATATCCTGGTGTTCTGGCATTCTGCTGTTCTGCTGTTCTGGTATCCTGGCTGGACGAATAGCAGGAGGCCTATGCTGTGCTTTTTTTTACCATTTCACCATTTTACCAAAGCAGGACATGGCCAGTAACGTGGCGCCTGCAACGTGGCTTACTGGGGAAGCTTTCGTTCGTTGCCGCTTTTTTTTCGCGTTTCAGCGTCTGCTGCAATTTATGTGTATAAATGACAAAAGTACCGTTATTTATGGCCAGCAACCGCAACGCAATTTGGCAACACTTGTTGGCCAATTGGCAAAAATGTGAAGGCGGGAACTCAGCTGAGTTCCCCCGGGCAATATAATGTTTATACGTGTGTAGGCGAGAACATCTACATATCCTTGCAATCACCTAATACGGGGGAGCAGGAGGAGACAAGGATTATTTCTGTTTAGCTGATGGATCGTCCCATTCCCTGGAGGATTGTTGTCCATCTCGAAGTATACTCTTCATTTAGCGCGCTCGAAATGGTTAATCTCATTAAAAAAGTGCTCCCATAAATTTGAGTCCTTACTTGATGGTTTATCTTTATTACCTAAAATAAAGCCAATAAAGGCCTTCCTTTAAATACCCTCCAAAATCGTACTACCCTAAGTCCAGGGTATCTGCTTAGGAGCAGTCTTGCTTGACAACGAACATTTTTGTGCGCTCTGTGCAAAATTTGAATTTTTATTGCTGATCGAAGCCTGCAGCACATTATATGACAAGGCCCCCACTTAGCCGCCTCCCAAATTATGCGTATTAAGGCCTTTTGGGGGAGATGGGTGGTCGGATGGATGGAATCCGAGTTGCTTGATAGCTTGTTGCGGACATAAATTTGTCGCCGCTGCTGCTTCATCTGGCGTCTGTTTGTGTAAATGTGCCAAATGCGCTGGAAGCCTCGCAGTGGCTCGATATTGACTTGACCCTTCTGTTTTGTTGTCGCGCCTTTTATTATGCTAATATTTTTAGGGCATTGCCAAGATTTATTGGAATGGCTGCGGCTGCTCGTCCATAAACGCAGGCCATACATATACATATACAGCATATCCCCGAGATTGGCTATCGGCGATGGAAAGGTGTAAGGAATTTCCTCGGGCAATTTGAGCCAGCGGCCACATGGCGTATGCGCGTTTTCGGGGGCGATGGGACGACGGGACGATTTTAGATTGGTTCGGGGGGCATAACAATTAAATTGTCATTTCGTCGGTGCAAACGCTTGTTGCTGCTTGTTGTCTCGCTTCGTGTTGCATAATTGGCAACGTTTTTGCAATTAAAACAACTAATTGGCAGCAAAAACTATTGGCCAGCACGGGCAGCAGATGTTAGCTGGTCGCTGGTTCTGCAAGGAGGAAGGCGGTGGGTCCCATAAAAAAGTATGCGAAAAATTAGTTGCATAAATTTCTGGTAAAAGTTGAAACTTTGCGGCGGTGGCTAATTGCAGGGGGCAGGGGGTAGGAATCTGAGAACTATGAGGTAAAGGCAGGGCGAAATTAATTTGTCCTCCTGTTTTAACAACTATTTCTGATTCCCCTTCAGCGTTTACTCTTGCCTAATCCCTCTCACGTAGGAATAGTGGAAATTCAACAGCACCACGCAGTATGGTTTTAAAGGAAAAGCCGGAAAAAAGGGTTGAAAGAACACACTTCTGCATAGGTGTTTATGCTTTGTTCGATTCTCGAAAGCTGCGGGCCTGTGTCCACAGATAAAACTCCAGCTCCAGGGCTCCACTGCTCCGCCCTCGGACAGAGTTGTTATGATTTTACAACAATATTATTTTTCCATCAACAACATCAGCAAAAATCAATCAAGTTCAATTAAAATGCTGCCAGCGGACACAAAAAGCAGCCGGCAAAACGCCAAAAAAAACATGCAAACCAGAATGCAATTATCAAAAATTAATTTCATATAAAAATTGTATAGGAGAAAAAAGGTTTGTCAGTAACAGAAATTAAAATGCCAATTATAAATTGCAATTAAGAGATGAAAAGTGGCCAAAGAAATTAAAATATCCGTTGTCCTGGCCAAATCAATCAAACCTAATTGCCTGCGTGTGTGTGTGTGTGTGTGTGTGCGACTATGTAAACACGATAATAACATTTACACTGTTGCACAAGCATATGTACCTCTGTGTGTGTGTGTGTGTGTGTGTGTGCTTATGTTTTATGGGAATAAATTTAACTATGGTAATGCGCAAATACGAAAAAAGACAAATGCTGGCAACAATTTTGTATTATATATATGTGTGTGTGTGTGTGTGTTTTTGCCTAACTGGGCGGCCTGTGTGTGCGTGTGGGTGTTTTTTGTGCGTGTGCAAAGCTTACATTTACACAAGTGCAAAAATTCCCAAAACACAAATCCTAAAAAAACATTTGTTACTTTTTGTGGGTGTCTGGGGTCTGGGTTCGGGGGAAGGAGGACGAAGGACGAAGGACCAAAGGTCCAATGCACGGGGGTGACCACACTCACACACAGTTACCCACTCACTGACGGCATAGTGCAGGCCACTGGTATTGGTGGGCTTTGTGAACGTACAGCGGTGTGCGAGTGAGCTGTGGGCTGCGTGTGTCGACATAAGCGTAGTCCTGCCCCATTGATTCCTACATGGGATCCTTTTTTTAAGTTCCAGCATCTCTATTATTCTTCCCAAACTTTAACGTAGTTTCTGGGAAGGCAGCTTAATCCTGGAGGTTTCCAAAAAAAGGAAGTGGCAAACCTGAAGCGTAGGTTAATCTGAAAAATTCGAAGCTTAATGATAGAGGAAAGCCTAACTTCATGACCAATTGACTCATTTTAATGACTGAAAGAATCTCCTAGTTCTGTTATTACCCTTTATGACCTAAGACTTCCCTTCAACTTCCAGTTGGCCAACCAAAAATGTCAGCAATATTCACATCCATGTTCAACGGACAATCCAGAGACCTGGACAAGTTTTCCAGGCGGAGAGTCTTCTATCCATAGCCCACTCCTTAGGCGATTGTCGCCATTGAGCGTTTAGATTGTAGTCCTCTTGTTGCGCATGAATGTATAACATTTTGTCCATTCGAGCTCGTAAATTCGAGATTATTTTGTGGTGCATTTAAATTTAGCAAAACAGAGGAGTAGAATATGTGGCGGGGCAGATAGTCGTCGCAGAGCGGTGTAAGTGCAGCCGGAGCAAGCGATTCGCTTCACCATGCTTGTTTTGCCATCGAAATTAAAGTGAATTTTGCGGTTTGGCTGCCAGAGAATGAAAATAGGCCTGGCAGAGGCACTTGAGGAGTGGTGGTCGGATTTGGACTTGGAGTCGGAGATGGATCTATTCGTCTCCACTTTGGCGTGCTCTTGCTCTTTCAACTTGAATGCAATTAGAAAGTAAAACGACTACAAATTGTCTTGCCGGGGCATTGATTGATTTCCAAGGAAATGGGGAAATTGACGCCGCAGATCCCAATCCCCGAACTGCGAGTCGGAAAATTCAGCAGCCGAGCGCAGCGGAGTCGCTCTAAAAATACCATGCTCCGCTGTCCGCTTTTCCTTTTCATTTTCCCCGAGTGCATTAGGAGTTCCAAAACGAAGCACAAAACACATGTAAGAAGACGAAACATTTCTAATGACTGCGGTGACACTTTTGTGGAAGTGCACACACCCAGCCGGCGGATGCATACGAGTACGGGTATATACTCGGACTCGGAGACACAGACACATAGCAGGGATGCGGATACGGAGAAGTCGGAGAGCTCTGTTGCATACCTGTGCATTCTGCCGGATAAAATTAGAACGTGAAAGTCGCTGCAGTTGACAGCGTAAAAATGTGTGAACTAAGGAACAGGAAAACGACGGCGGGGTGCCACATAAACCAAATCGAAATTAATAATGAAACCGAAAGGCGGCTCCGATTTACACTTGCCGCCGACTTGGACGTCCTATGACTTAGCCCCTTTCGCAAAACTTTTTATTAACTTCCGTCGATTGTCGTCTAAACTTTCCAATTACCAAAAATGATTGCAGACCACCCCATGTCAGCCCCTCCCCTTTGAACGTATTTTTAGCCAAGTCATAACACAGACGTACTCCTAAATTTAGATCCTCTACTTTATTAGTTAGAAACTGTAAGTGCTGAACGAGTCTGAACAGAGATTGCAAGCGAAGTATTAGTCATTTTATTTTATAGTAAACTTCGAAAACATAAACTTAGATTAAGCATGAATTACTAAGTAAGCAACCCTTAGGTTACTCATTACGCTTATTAAGCTAACTAAAAGATAAGTTTATTACGAATAATTTATTTGAAAATGGTTAGGAATGTGACTGCCTTTTCAAAAACATGTTTTTAAGTTGGTTACTAATAGTTATGTTTTGATAAGCTTCAGAGAGAGGCTTACACAGCGCCTACAAATTCGAGAAACTGGTAAATCGAACTCATAATTAGTTTAATTAGATGTACTAAGAGAAAGTAATTACTGGTTTAAGTTCATTTATTTACCACCACTTAATAAACGAATTAATCAAGGTAAAAATAAATATTCTCAACTTCTTTCAATTACAAACATCTCGTCATACTTCTTAGCTCCCTGGCTAGACTATAATAAGAGCCGCCATGTGGCGAGCTTTGAGCTGGAGAACTGCCGACTCGTCCCACTGTGCGAGTGCGCTTGTGTGGGTATGTGTGTGCGTTTCAGTGCGCCGGTGAATCGGTGTGTGTGCGATCTCCCCTCTCGCTCTGGCTGGCAGGCACTCGAGTCGCAAGTCGACTCAAAAATCACCAGAACATCGTCGACGGACCCGAGTTTCTGGTCCGCCGATCAGTTGTGTCTTGTGCGTTGTGCGGTGAAGTTGCCCCTTCGTTCTGAAAATCCAGCAAAGATACTCGGCCTGTGCGGTGCATCCTTCTCCAGATTGAGAATCACATTGAGACTTAGATCCACATCCAGAACCAGCAGCAGATCTAGCTCCAGCTTCAGCTTCTGCCCTCTGACCTCTGAACAAATCACCAGACCCGTTCCAAGATGAGAGAAATTGTCCATCTGCAAGCCGGCCAGTGCGGCAACCAAATCGGCGCTAAGGTAAGTCCCACTACTATATGACTGACTGTTTTCTGCTGCCTCTTAATTTATTCACATTGACCGAAAACGTTTTTCAATGAGTTTCCAAAATGATCGGGCTGAGGCTCGCGGTTCGATGTCGCCGCCTTTTTCAGCGCATTCAGCAATTAAAGCGAAAGAAAATTAACAACAAAAAATACGTTTAAATAAAAAATGCAAAGTGCAAAAAAGTGGACAGCCAAAGAAATTCGTTGTGAGTCTGTCTGGCACTCAATATGCCCTTTCTGTTCCGCACAAAAAATCAAAAACCAAAAAAAAAAAAAAAAACGAAAAGAAAACGGGTTGGGCCGGCTGCAGATCACGAAAAGTGATTCATGGCAAACCCTCCCGAGGGAAATTGGGAGGGGAATGGCCAGGGAGAATTATGGCAGAGGCGCAAATCAGCGAGAAAACTTTGAGATTTCTGCAATTTTGAGCGGAGTTCGCCGCTGCCTTGCACTCTGCCAAGAAGGGAAATCTCTCGACTTATCTGGCCGAAGAAATCTTTTCGCTTTGCTTGAGTTTCCTTCCCTCTCGAAGAAACCACAAAAAGTGCAATAAGAATAGGCAGTTATTCGGACGTAGATGTATATTAGGAACCAAGGAACATTACTGGGTCTCGGAGAGTTGTTACTCACTGAAAGTCTGTGGAATTACGTCAAAGAGCATAAATATTTATCAGGCTATAGTACGGTGATTCCACAGTAAATAATTAGTAATAATAATATTTACTAAGAACTATACTAAGAACAGTAGCCAAAAACATTTATTAAATTATTATTCTCCGATTACCTGAGGCATTCGAGTCGCAGCTGTTCTTATCTTTCGCTATAAGACCACTCCAATCACATGTAGGGTATACGATGACTGATCAGCAACTACTGCAGTAGTGCCCACTACTGGGCTTTAATCAATCAGAGTAAACGAGAATCGGAAACTTGAGAAATGCAAACGAATCAGAGCAATTAAGTTCTGATTTGCAGTTGGGCATTCTCAATTATCGCGTATATAGGATAGTCCACTCAATCAGCACGCCCCGAAAAGCAGAGTGCAGCTCTTCGAGAAAAGGAGGCAGGCAGTCAACCGGCTTGCCACAGACTCTTTTCGATTTTTGGCAATACCAGTTTTGGATCGAGACTGCGACTCGGACAAGTGGGTCCCCGCTGAGTGCGTTTTTCTGTGGCATCAATGTCAATGCCTAAAGACTCGATTCATATCCAATCACCCCCCGCCCCTGCTAAGTGGGTCACTTGCAGTGCGCCGTGAAACTAAATAGCTGATAAAAGCACATAGAACACTCACGAAAGATAAGCCAGCAAATCTTAATCATTTGATATGAGTCAATTTGGGAAGAATGAGGCGGCCGAGCGACTAGTCAGCAGCTTCAATTTAAAAGCAAACCCGCTTGCCTTTTGCGTTTCCCGGAATTTCGGCAATAGCAATGGTTTTATGGGGCAGCACTCGTAGGTATATAAGCGCAAACAGACTTCGCGTACTCGAATGAGATATGATGGGAAGTTTGTCTTGGTAATTTGAGCAGCCAACCTCCCCGTAATGTGAGACCCGAAAACGAAAAACAAAAAAACTAACAGCTGAGTGGACACTCGCAACAAGAATCTGAATTGGGATGGGGCCTTGGGCCTAGGGCCTCTGGAAATTCGAAAACCGCACAAGTGCAGGAGAAAAGGAAGTGACTCACCGGACCTGTCCTGTATACAGTTACAGGATATCGGACCTGCATTCTTCATATAATATATATATGTGCGGTTCGCTGTTTCCCTTTTTAGCTCGAGCCACGACGATTAATGCATATTAAGTGAACGGCCTACGAGATTAAATTCAAGAACTCGCAAGACCATGCCACTGCGATTCGAAGTCAATAAACCCAGTCCCTCTCTTTGGGAACTCTTATCGTCGCCTTCTTTTCGGAGACTTCACAGCAGCTGTGAGGAAAGACAAAGGCCAAAAGTGGGTGGTGGTGCGGCGTGGGGCCCCTCTCAATTGAAAGAATTTTCTTTTGATGCCAAATGTTTTATATCTTGTGAAAACACCACTCTCCGACTTTTTGCATAGTCAGCGATCCTCTGCAGAGACGGAGAAAGGGACAGCAAGACGGGCTCCAAGTTCATGCCCGAGTGATTTCCTCTTCGCAAGACTCGAATAGACGAAGTGCAGCGATGGAGGAGTCTTCTTGGCTCCCAGACATGCAACACTTAATGAGGGCGTCTCGATTGCCAGTCGCCAGATGATCGCATGCTAGAGGCGTGGCGCGGCAGGGCGGAGGTCTGCTCTCTGCGAGGGGGGTTAGACCAGGCCAGTTGCCAGTTGCCAGGCTTCAGAGCTTTGGAAATTAATTGCTCGACGAGAAGAATGGACTTGCAACAGTTAGGCCATCAAAGTTGTTAGAACAGATGTTGTAAGTAACTAGAGGAGACCCTTGGTAGAGAATAACCACTAGACAAGGCTCCCTTGCCGAATAAGTTATTTTATGGTTCTATTACAAAACGGTAAGGTGAATCATAAAAATTAAAGGCTGGAAAGTTAAAAAGTGTGTTGCCCTGAACAAATACTTGATTTGATGCAGCCTTTCCTTTTGAGGAGCATTAAAGAAACCATAAATCCGTTTCGACACGACTTCTCTCCAACAAATTGAATTCTCGCCGACAAACATCGATCGTAAATCTGGCCAAAAAGCCATTAATCTATAATTGCAATCTAACTGTGTGTCGTACTTCGAGGCTCCATTACCCGCTGCAGCTGACATTCACCGAAAACTCGGCTCCATTTTCCGACAGACCATTATCTTGGAAATGAAAAATCCGAAGTGAAAAATTAGTCGAATGTAAAAGTAAAGCGATCAGCGGACCATCGCTGCCAGAAGTGAAAAAGTGGAAATGAGAAAAGCGACTTTTCACTTCAACAGTTTTTGTGCGCTAATTTAGTTTTCATATTTGTTGCTGCCGCCGTGTGGTTTTTTTTGCCTCTTCTGTCTCGTCCGGCCTTATAAACCGAACTTTATTGTTGTGGATGTTATGGTTAGCTTCATAATTGCAGCGGCCACACTCCAATTAAATTTGATGATCTTGCTAAGATTGCAGTTGTCTGAGATTCGTTTCTGCTGATGTAGCTTCTTGCCCCATCCCCATCCCCATCCCCATCTCCCGTACTTTCTTACTTTTTAAATAAACAAAGCTATGCAGACGCCACGGGCAGCTCCAGTTTTTCCCCTTTAAGGCGGTCCCCAACCCTTCTTGTTTATAGTCGCACACGTCAAGTTCAAGTGCCAAAGGGAAACAACTCAGACATCGAGGGAATGCGGCTGCCTCTTGGCTGGGGAATCGCTAACATTTTTATTATTTCCCCTGCCTTCTGAGATGTGTACTTGGGGACTGTTGCCAAGCCAGCTGCGTTTCGCTCCGATGGAGAGTCTAGGCTGATCCCCAAAACCGATCCCCGAAATAGTCGTCTAATGATCAACTAACGGCGCCCAAATTTGGTTCTTGTTAAACGCAGCACAACAATTGTAGAGCATTTCCTCAATAAATCTCCGGGATGGCCTCTGTATCCATGATATAGATGCCTAATTTATCGTATTTCGATTGGGTTCCCGGAGTCATGGAGTGGGTTAGCCTGGCCGTCTCTAATGCTGGGTCGTTGGCCTGCAGTTCCCCCCGAACTTTCGGATCATTCTTTGGCCCCCGATGAGTCAGCAGTCAGCAGTATATAAGTAGTACATCTCTGCCGCTCTGCCACTCTGCCACTCTGGTACCCCCATCCCATCCCACGGGCTCTGCTATTTTTAAATGCATTTCTCCCCAGGAGCGCCGTGGAGTGGAAATTTGTCCCATACAGTGAGAGGGCCACTATTTTTTACTGGCCCGGACGCATCTTTTAAATTTAGCACTAAATCAGGGCATGTTCGGCGGCGTCCAAAACTGACGTTTGAAAAACTAAACATGAGTTTATTTCTCCCTTTTTTTCGGGGCAATCTGTCTCACTTTTGACTGCCGCATCGGGCCCCCTATATGGCCAGGCCATATATATCCCATATCCCATATATATACTTCTGTATATTTTTCCAAAAACCTCAAACTTTATGGGCTGCGGCTGCGCCTTGTTGTTCGTCACATTGTCACATTGGCACATCGGAGGAGGCAGGAACAGAGATTGTTAGAATTGTTGATAGTTCTTCTTTTTCGGTCGCAGCCACAGAACTGCGGCCATATGTCAGGGCTCAACATGAACTCTGACATGGCTGGGTGGGCACAATTATTCAACTTGATGAACGGCTCGGGAATATTTAGTAAGGCTTTTGCCGACTGAAAATCTGCAATCGCCAAGTGCTCGACTGGGGTATAAAGATATTATATCTCTGGGATGGATGATAAGGATGAAAGATCTCCGCTTGAGTGGCAGATAAGAGCGCTGGCCAAGATGCGGGTTGCATCTTTTTATCTTGAATGGGAATGGATTTGTTTGGCTAATCATAATAACTTTGCGTAAAACGAATCTGTAGCTTTCAGACTTATCTCTTCTTTCAAATAATATATAATGGAAATAGAAAATCCATTTATTTATCTACTTCTGGGGAACATTTGTTGCCATTCGGATTAATCCGAACTAATTACTGCTAATAAAACGAGTTTCTAAAATCATGTTGATGAAACGTGATGAACTGATTATCGAACTGATGCTTTTAATATCAAAAAGGTAATGCAATCTGTGAAGAAGTATTGGAGGAAGTCATTTTGGGTCAAGGTTTTCTTTATCTGTTTTTTTGCTGAACAAATCTAACATTTCCCAACGTTTTCCTTCCAGTTCTGGGAGATCATTTCCGAGGAGCACGGCATCGACAGCAATGGCATCTACGTGGGCGACAGTGATCTCCAGCTGGAGCGCGTCAGTGTCTACTACAACGAGGCATCGGGTAAATGCTTGCCATATCATAGAAACCCAATGTGATTGACTAATCCTAAACCCTTTCAGGAGTCACGCGGTCGTCGGGTGGTAAATATGTGCCTAGGGCCATTCTGCTCGATCTGGAGCCCGGCACCATGGAGTCGGTGCGATCGGGTCCCTACGGACAGCTCTTCCGGCCGGACAACTTTGTGTACGGTCAGTCGGGAGCGGGAAACAACTGGGCCAAGGGCCATTACACCGAGGGCGCCGAACTGGTGGACAATGTCCTCGATGTGGTCCGCAAGGAGTGCGAAAACTGCGACTGCCTGCAGGTTGGTAGCTTCATTTCATAAGATCCAAATCAGTATCTAGATTTATGTTAATCGTTATCCTTATTTTAGGGCTTCCAACTGACGCACTCGCTGGGCGGCGGTACTGGCTCCGGAATGGGAACCCTGCTGATCTCGAAGATCCGCGAAGAGTACCCTGACCGCATTATGAACACCTACTCGGTGGTGCCCTCGCCCAAGGTGTCCGACACTGTGGTGGAGCCCTACAACGCCACCCTGTCGATCCATCAGCTAGTGGAGAACACAGACGAGACGTACTGCATCGACAACGAGGCTCTGTACGACATCTGTTTCAGGACCTTGAAGGTGTCCAACCCCAGTTACGGAGATCTGAACCATCTGGTTTCCCTGACCATGTCTGGAGTGACCACATGCCTTCGTTTCCCTGGCCAACTGAATGCCGATCTGCGCAAACTGGCTGTCAACATGGTTCCATTCCCGCGTCTGCACTTCTTCATGCCCGGATTCGCCCCGCTCACCTCTCGAGGATCTCAGCAGTACAGGGCTCTGACGGTGCCCGAGCTAACCCAGCAGATGTTCGATGCCAAGAACATGATGGCCGCGTGCGATCCTCGACATGGTCGCTACCTAACGGTGGCCGCAGTCTTCCGTGGTCGCATGTCCATGAAGGAGGTGGACGAGCAGATGCTGGCCGTCCAGAACAAGAACAGCTCCTACTTCGTAGAGTGGATCCCGAACAACGTGAAGACCGCCGTCTGCGATATCCCGCCAAAGGGTCTGAAGATGTCCTCCACTTTCATCGGAAACACCACGGCCATCCAGGAGCTGTTCAAGCGGATTTCCGAGCAGTTCTCGGCCATGTTCCGGCGCAAGGCCTTCTTGCATTGGTACACCGGCGAGGGCATGGACGAGATGGAGTTCACCGAGGCGGAGAGCAACATGAACGACCTGGTCTCCGAGTACCAGCAGTACCAGGAGGCCACCGCCGACGACGAGTTCGATCCGGATGTTAATCAGGAGGAGGTCGAGGGCGATTGTATTTAATGGTGTGGCCAGAGGAATGAGGGGCGTGCGTGACGGGGGGGAGGTCGTGTTTCTGCGCGGCATGCGGCACCAGCTGGCGGCCAAGCACTGCAGCATCCTTTGACCCCGTCGGTAAACACACACAGCCACACCACACCACACCACACACAACACAGTAACACTGAAACACTGAAACACCATTACCATCACATACACGGACAGGACAGGACAGACAGACAGGAAGGTCAAGCGTAGTTAGAACATCAAACGGAAATGTTCCCAGAGCTCATGCTTCCTCTATTTCCCATCACTCATCCATCATCTCGCATCTCTCATCTCTCCACTCTCCACTCTCCACTCGCATCTTCATCTTTTTGTCTATTTCGGGCACTTGTCACCCTTCTCTACGCTATACACACTTTACACGGAGGCACGTCTATCGCATTTCTCGCAGCCATTTTCACCCACTTTCCACCCTTTCCCACCTCTTTTCATAACCCCTACTATTTTATCCTACTCCATTTTTATACAACTATTTATATCGCAACGTCAGCAAGATGGAACCACAAGTATCTAGTATTTCAAAGGATAACGAATTTATGCAGAAATCTCGAGAAATGCCCAACGTCCCGGAGTTAGCAGTTAAGACTGACGAAGACAGTTTGGCAATACATACTTTTAGAGCTATATACGATACGAGCTTATCCAAAGATAATCGATTGACAACTCTCATGAGATCCTCGAAAGAAGGCAATTTCTAAAAGCATCCGCAATTGTATTTACATAATCTTAGGGCACAATCCATTCACTTTGTATTCGTGAGCAGTACTTTCTCTTGTAGTTTATATGGTTAAAAACATTTGTACCCAAATAAATTACTAATAATGGCAATTTTGACAAATAATAAATGGAATTTATTTAAAATTTATAACCAGTTGTTTTTTTATGGTAGACAATGGGTTTTCTTGGACTGTTAGTACAGTAATATTGGGACTGGAAAATAGATAACCTACTCCTTTAATAAACATACAGGATGTATTAATGATCTTCCACTTTCAATTATTCCAAAAGTATATCAAACCATTTCCGTCTACTTTTCAAACTGCTTAGCCGTTGGGCATAGCGTTGCCAGATGGAAATAATACGTGACGTTGTAGAATACGATGCTTACGTAGATTGAATGTGTAGAATGTATGAAATGTAAAACAATATGTGTCAAGTACAGTAGCGCCACCTAGCGAAGTCAATAAATGGCAACGCTGTGACCAACTTCCATTATACAGATTAAACGAGTTTTCAAGTTAATTCATTTACTTATATCTTTAAATGAAATAACATTTTTTATTTCTTTGCCTTTAACGCAGATCTTTTGAGCCTCTAAATGATGTCTCTGAAATAATGTGACGCCTATTCAAATATGAAAAATTTGGTCTGCCCTAATCTCTCTCCAAATATCTATATTCTGGCCATAACAAAGCGAAAAATGGTCGCAATGTGAAATATCATATCTCGATGAACTTGTATTTTAATTTTCAACATAATTGCATACCCACCTTAATATGTAAATTTTTGGACATTTTTCGCAAATTTTGATGATGTAACCCCTTACCAAAAATGCAAAAATTGCCCGAAAAATTAACTTTCCCAAATCCACCAGACAGTGACAAAAATGGTTAGTTTTGGTCGTTAGCTGCACAAAACAATCATTCCTGTTGTTCTACGTCTTGTTTTGACCATTTTATAGGCTATAACCCTAGAAAAAAATATTACAAATATTAGGTTAAAATCGCTTCTCTGATTTATCGTCAAAGAAATCAGAATTTTGCCATAACATTGTCAAAAATGGTCGGAATGTGGAAAGTCATATCTCGATGAGTTTGTAATTCAATTTCCAACATAACTGTGTTCACACCTAAAAATGGCAATTTTAGGGCATTTTTCGCAAATTTTGATGATGTAACCCCTTACCAAAAATGCAAAAATTGCACAAAAAATTAACTTTCCCAAATCCACCAGACAGTGACAAAAATGGTTAGTTTTGGTCGTTAGCTGCACAAAACAATCATTCCTGTTGTTCTACGTCTTGTTTTGACCATTTTATAGGCTATTAACCTAGAAAAAATATTGCAAATTTTGATGATGTAACCCCTTACCAAAAATGCAAAAATTGACCAAAAATTAACTTCCCCAAATCCACCAAACAGTGACAAAAATGGTTAGTTTTGGTCGTTAGCTGCACAAAACAATCATTCCTTTTGTTCTACGTTGTGTTTTGACCATTTTATAGGCTATTAACCTAGAAAAAAAAGTGGCAAATATTACGTTAAAATCGATACTCTGAATTATCGTTAAAGAAATAAGAATTTTGCCATAACATTGTCAAAAATGGTCGGAATGTGGAAAGTCATATCTCGATGAGTTTGTAATTCAATTTCCAACATAACTGTGTTCACACCTAAAAATGGTTATTTTATGGCATTTTCGCAAATTTTGATGATGTAACCCCTTACCAAAAATGCAAAAATTGCCCAAAGAATTAACTTTCCCAAATCCACCAGACAGTAACAAAAATGGTTAGTTTTGATCGTTAGCTGCACAAAACAATCATTCCTGTTGTTCTACGTCTTGTTTTGACCATTTTATAGGCTATTAACCTAGAAAAAATATTGCAAATTTTGATGATGTAACCCCTTACCAAAAATGCAAAAATTTACCAAAAATTAACTTCCCCAAATCCACCAAACAGTGACAAAAATGGTTAGTTTTGGTCGTTAGCTGCACAAAACAATCATTCCTGTTGTTCTACGTCTTGTTTTGACCATTTTATAGGCTATAAACCTAGAAAAAAATATTACAGATATTAGGTTAAAATCGCTACTCTGATTTATCGTCAAAGAAATCAGAATTTTGCCATAACATTGTCAAAGTATCAAAACATGTTTAAAATATGGAATGTCATACATTGCTTATCTCCCAAGGCAATTCTCCATCGATTTGCTTTTCACCGTAAACATCTTCAATTTTGGATTATTTTGCAAAAATAAGTGATGTAACCCCTTACAAAAACACGAAATTGCGATTATACTTGGGACTGCAATCAAATATACATAATATTTAGTAATACAAGAAGAAGTCAACTATTCACATGGCAGTCTAATTTTCTCGAAAGATTCAAACAATTAACCGTCATTTTTTCTCTATAAAAATGTACTTGCCACACGAGCTGAAAGCTGAAAGCACGGCTTCCACTTGATAATCTCGAGCGGATCTCGGAGTCGCAGAAACCTTTCCATTAACCGACTCTCTCGGACCTCAAATGCGACAAATTCACCAGAATTAAAAGACATTAAGCGACGTTAGCGGTCTCGTGACACAAACAAAGCTCAACATAAAAGCCAGGCCAATAACAAAGTCGGCTAAGAACAAAACCCCAGACATACGGAACAAAAAATGAAAAGCAAGCTAAATGCACGGCAGAACCAGTTTTATATTTGTTTTTGATCGAAAGAGCCGGCCGGCTTTTCTGAATGACGAACAGAACTGAGAACTGAGAATGAGAACTGAGATCTGAGAACGGAGAGTCGAGAACCTTTTTCAAGCCGGCTTTAGCATTGTAACACGTTCTTCCGTCTGGAACTTTAGTGACCGGTTAAAGTGCGTTTAACCGTTAGTTATGTCACTTCAGCGGGTCAAAGGAAGGTTATGCAGAGCGGAAGTGCCCGTCTGAAGCTGAGAACCCGGCTCTCAAAAGTGGGCCAAGTCAGATGCCAAAGATACCATCATCACTTAGCCATGGCTGCAAATGCAGAAGTCACCGAACGAGTTTTAAATATTTTTCAAACTTTTGTTTTACAAAATTTTGCTTAAAATTCGGACTTAAATAAATATATTTACAATCTTTACTGCAAGAACAACATTCCTTTGCTTTTAACTTAATTCCCAACTTGAATCTATGACTAAAATAATCGTAAATTTTGTGTAAGTCAATTGATTAAGAACTTTACGCCCTTATATACGAGGTGTGTTCAAAAAGTAAGGTGACTCTTCAAATTTCGCGAATTTCAAATTTTTCGATTATCGAAACCTTTTAGAAGTTATACGAGGTGTGTTCAAAAAGTAAGGTGACTTTTCAAATTTCAAATTTTTCAAATTTTTCGATTATCTTCAGTTTTGGGAACAAGAAAAAGTCACATGGGGCCAAATCCGGTGAATATGGTGGCTGAGGCATTATTGTGGTGTTGTTTTTGGCCAAAAAATCCAAATCCTTTGATCCATATTTTTCGATAGCAAAAAATCGCCGAGCTCGCAAAACAACTTGTAACTTTACGCCTCTCACAACCAAACAAAAGAGGATGTTCCATTGAAACTTGGTACAGATGTTAGGGAAGAGTGTACCAATATAACAAAACAAAAAAATCGATAATCGAAAAATTTGAAATTCGCGAAATTTGAAGAGTCACCTTACTTTTTGAACACACCTCGTATATATACCACATGATCGATAGATGCAAACCCCTTGAATCGATCGTCCCACATTAATTTCTTGCCGTGAAACAACGCTGGCCAGAAATAAGCAAATGAAAAAGCAATAAAATAGTTGCAACTTACACTCATTTGGCGCCATCATCCAAAGAGCCAGTCGTCCAGCAGAAGGAGGCACAAAATCCAAGATCCAAAACCCAAAATCGAAAACATGAAGCGAGGCAGCGCAGTGATTGACCCAGTTTCCCGAGACGACAACAACCTACCTACCTACTCCTCACTCACTGGATCTGCTGGCTATATCTGCAGCTCTTGGATCTTGGAGTGCTGGAGATGGAGACTTTGCACTCGGGGAAGTGCATTGCACTCGCCGCGAAACTATAGTACAGCTCAAAAAAAAACCAAGGAAAAATCTTGTTTTTTCAGCTAGTTGCCGATTCTTCAGAAAGCCAAAAAACGAAACCCGCTTGAAGTGGCTAAGTGCCAGAGTGGCAAGAGGGCGGTGGGGCAGGGGGCGTGCCGAGCTGGAGGCACATGCAAACAACACGTCAATGCTCTGTGGTAGCCAAAAGCCACCGCAAACGCCTCGACTAGTTTAGATTGGACTTAGACAACCCGATCTACGCTGCTTTTTGATTTTCTGCC